GATCAGGCGAACCTGATAAAACGCCCCCCTGGTCACGGCCGACAAATGGTCATCCAGTGCCAGCCGCGAATCCAGGAGGACTCCCAAGTTGCGCGCCCTCTCCGAGGGGGCCAAAGTTTCGCCCCCTATAGTCAGCGATGGTGTCAGCTGACTATGCCGAGGCGCTGGCAACCACAGCCACTCGGTCTTGGAAGGGTATAGAACAGGGATACAAAATATAGAACAGGGATACAAAACCTAAGTTAGAAACTAGAAGAAAGTGAGTTTTAGTCCTGCTGGCTGAGTGACCTTGGGCCAGTCACTTTCTCTCAGCCCAACCTACCTCACATGGTTGTTGTTCTGTGGAAAACAGGAGCAGGAAGGAGTATTTGGTATATTCATTACCTTAAGTTATTTTTTAAAATAATAAAGTTGGGATTAAAATAAATAAAGACCCTCAGCTGATTTTTCTTGGGGAAGGAGGGAAGGCCCATTAAACAGCGGCCTGATAAATAACATGCTTTAAAACCCGATGAATATTAATAGTCCTTGAGCTACGAACACAATTGAGCCCCAAATTTATGTTGCTAAGTGAAACGTTTATGTCAGTTTTGCCCCATTTTACGACCTTTCTTGGCACAGTTGTTATGTGAATCATTGCAGTTTTAAGTTAGTAACACGGTTGTTAAGTGAATCTGGCTTCCCCACTGACTTTGCTTGTCAGAAGGTCGCAAAAGGGGATTATATGACCCCAGGACACTAATAGTCATAAATATGAGCCAGTTGCCAAGCATCCGAATTTTGAACACCTGACTATGGGGAGGCTGCAATGGTCGTTAAGTGTGAAAAACGATCATAGATCCTTTTTCAGTGGTCACTAAACGACTGGTCACTAAACGAACGGCTGCAAGTCGAGGACCACCTGTCCTTCGTTCCTCCTTGCCTCCCTTAAAATTATTCTTGCTCGCGCCCCCTCGTCCTCATAACTTGCCTCCTTCACGGCTCCGCGCGCCAAACCACGATGGTTCTTTTTTTTCCATCAAGGTCTACCGTTCCGTGGATGTAGACCCAGAGAAGGGTGGTTTTTCCCGGCTAACCGTGGGTTGGCGGGGCTGCCTTAGCGCAGCCGAACCAAGAACGGGGTCGAAGCGGGGTCTCCCGCGGTGGATGCAAAATCGGGGGCCGCGGACCAAGCGCGAACCGGGGCGCGGAGGGCCAGCGGCGCCTTCCTCCCCACCGGCGCGCAAAGGCGGCGGGGCGCAGTGCCGCGCTCCCTCTGGGCGCTAGAGGTCTCTGCGCGCTCGCCTCCTCGCTGGCGGGCCGGGCGCGGCCATTGTTGCTCCGTCCTTCCTCCCAGCGGGGCCGTCGTCGTCGTCGTCCTCCTCCTCCGTCGCGCCAGCCCAGCCGTCGGAGAGACCCCGGGGAAGGCGCCCCGCTGGGGATGGAGGGGGAGAGCACGACGGCGCTGCTGCCGGGCTTCCTCTTCGGCGCCCTCGCTTTCCACCACTTCAGCACCGACTCAGATTCGGTACGTAAAGCGCCCCCCGCGCTGCGCTTTGGAGAGGTTTCCCTGCCCGCGCCGACGCCTCAAATCGCGGTCCGGGGTCCCACTGCGCCCTGGATTGAACCTGGTTCGCCGCGCGGTTGTTGTTGTTTTTTTTTTGGGGGGGGGGGAGACGCAACCGTGATCCGGATGCCAAAAAGGGAACCGGACACCTTTCAAACAGGGAGCGCGCTCGTGTCTTCTTCGGGTGGCGAGGCTTAGTTTCAGTTTCATTTCGCCTGGAGCCGGATGGGGCTGCTCCCGATACCCCGCCGGCATTTCCCCAAAGTGTTGATTTTGGATTGGAGTGGGGGGGAAATGGCGGAGTTCAGCCGTCTCTTTCCTCCAGGAACGCCAGACGGTTCTTTCCTACTATGGGTTCCCACAACAACCCTGCGCTGTAGGTGGGAAGAAGCGCGCCTAGTGCAATCAAGGTTGAGTCTTAATTTGAACTGGGATCTGCCTGGTGTTTAATCCAAGATCCTCGATGCTCCACTATAGTACAGTAGTTGCTTAAGGCTTGGCCGCCCTGGGCTGGGAATCCTAAGAGTTTTCTGAAAAGGTGCTTTTTTCAAACGCCTAGGAGCTTTGGCTCCAGGCACAGAGCAGAGCCCAAGAGTTGCTGCAAACAGACCCGGGATTTGTTGCAAAAATTGAATGCGCGCACCGCCTTAGGAAAACCTTGCGCGGCTGTTTCCAATCTGAGGTGGATTGATTCGTGCCTGCACGTGGCATCCATGTTAATATTAAGATCTCCCGTTGTGAGCAAAGTTGGCTTGCTCTGTTTTCTGCAGCTGCTGGATGCAGTATTATTTTGAATTTCCCTCTCCTCAAAAGCTCAAGTGTACAGCCTCTGCCAGCGTAAACTCTTCCGACTGAAGAGGCAGACTCCAGTTTGTTTCATTGACTTGTTGACTTCCGTAACTTTGCAGGAAGCAATGCAATGCAATACCGAGGCTTCGGTGAGTCCCCGGCTTTCCTAGCTGTGGCCCTGTATGCATCACTCATCCCCCACCTCCTAAAAGTTTGATTTACACAGAGCTGAAGAATAAATGTGGATGATCCTATCCTATAAATTGGGGGAATGTAAAAGAAAATAGAATGAATTAAAGTGTTAGGCATTTATAGTTGATCTACCCAGAAAGGCTGGCAGGGAAGACTGTAGACAGGATGCTTTGACTCTGAAATATTACCAAGTGAGATTATAAGGAACACTGAAATATTACCAAGTGAGATTATAAGGAACACACTGTCAGGTATCACCCACTGGTTAGTTTGCAAAAGTTAAAATACTTCTTTTGCTTTTCATCTTACATTACTGCAGCCCCCTTATAGACTGCCTCATGAAAATGATGTAAGTAGTTTGACTGATTCTGAATACGAATAGCCCTTGATTTGTAATTGAATGGAACCCAGTTAGAATTTCCATCCTAAATTATGACAGTCACTTACATGACCAGACCTGATTTTATGACTTTTTTGAAGTAGTTGTTTAGTGAATCAATGTATTAATGGGCTTTTTTTTTTTCCTGAAAACTGGCTGAAAAAACTGGACACTGTCAAGAAATAAATAAAAATGATAAAGGTGAATTAGTTGCCAAGCACCCAAAATGTAGTAATTTGACTTCAAAGGTGCACAGCTGTTAGAAATCTGTCATAACTAGCTTTTGGGGGTACCTCATAACTTCAAACTGTTGCTAAGCAACTGGTCTGTACCTGTGATAAATATTACATCTGCATGAAGGAGACTTTCAAATATTGGGTAGGATTAAGAATTTATATTTGATGACTGGGCATTTGTTTCTGAACCTTATTGCTTTAAATGAATTGTTTGTTCATATTGAATAATACATATGTATTTTTCCGTATTAAATAAACAATGTTTCCTTTCTAAAAAATATTAAAATTATTAACCAAAATCTGTTAGTGAATCCTCATTTCAATTGCTTGGCTCTCAAGCCTATACATGGATGAAATAGTTTAACCCTTGCTTCCAATTTTATTTCATGTCAAGAGGAATAAAAATGAAGTAAAAGAGAGAGCAAGACGCTTAGGAAAAAAGTATGTGCCATCTTTTTTGAAAGTTAGCAGCCTGCTATTCTATCACAGATCACTGTCTTTTAAGTTGTCTTTTCAGCATTTTTTTTTTTTTAAAAATCAAGGTTTACATTTGAATTTGAATCTTGGGATTTCTTAATACGGTCTTGGTTTGACACACATTTCCCTTTTGCTCATAAAGGAAGGTTTTCTGCTTGGAGATGTAAAAGGTGAAGCCAAAAACAGCATTACCGACTCTCAGATGGATGATGTCGAGGTTGTGTATACAATTGGTAAGTTGTACACCAATTTACGAAATATCGGAGTGCAAAATAATTTCCTTTTGAATAATTTCAGGCATAAAACTTTGGGGAACACCTGATTTCAAAGTGCAAAAACTAGTTTCCAGCATTTTGGTGTAATCTTTAGCTTGAAACACCACTGTTGCAAGCTTCAAAGGGTCCATTTTTCTTAGGGCAGAAGGCATAGCTCAGATGCAATATTTATTTAACATGTGAATGAAAGATTTTGCGCACCTGAATAAGTTTTGCAAAGTTTCCCTCTACCTCCACCATCTGCCGCCTTAGATTTCTAAGACCATACAATCTATATATAGTACCAATAAAATGGGAATATGTGCTATTTTTACTATAGCTTTCAGAAGGAACAAAATGGATCACAATAATATTTCCCATCACATATAATTTCCTATATCTTCCTCCTATTTCTGAAATTATTCCAAAAGGTCTTTAATTTCCCTGCTTTGTAAGAACTATAAAAGGAAGGATATAAATGGATTTGTTCTACGCTATGAAAAACTGTCCAAGTCTTTAAATTTGCCACCATCCCCATAAATGGAGATTATCATTAATTTTTGAAATTAATTCTAATGTTCCAAAAATCCGGCCACATGTTATCCTTCCAAAACCTCTTGACAATACGAATTTTAGCTCATCTGCATTTTTAGTAGAAAAACCGAAAGGTGTTCCATGAAATACTGAATTAAATGATTTTTCCAAGATTTACAAATCTCACATAATTATAATGCAAAAAGCCATGTAATGAACAATGTATGAATCATACAGAACTTTTATTTTAAATAATTTAAGAACATAACAGAAGCATGTCTACATTACACTTTCTGGAACAGGTAATATACGTAATATGTTACTTTATTTCAGATATACAAAAGCACATTCCATGTTATCAACTCTTCAGGTAGGTAAAAAAAAATTGTTCATCTTTTTATAAAACATAAGATGGCACATTTAAAAAGTGCAGGAGGGTAGAATTAGCTGTGATTGTGAATTAGAATCACATCTGCAGAATAGTCTCAAAAAGTTCACGGAAAAATTAAAGGGCAGCATCTGTTTGCACTGAGCGCTTCATATCCATGTAATGGGATCCTAAGAACAGAATTGTCAAGAAAGAAAACTGGAAACTGCAATCTTGTAGATTATTCCAATATAAACTTGACTGAGAGTAATGTGAGTTCTATGTGGAAGTGAGTTCCATTTAATTTGCAAAATCATCTTAATCTTACATTTTAAATTAACTTTCCCCTTGCTGTGATTAATATGGTATTCCAAGCGTATACCCACAGGTTCTATAAAACTATTTAGAATGCAGCCAATAGCCAATTTATTATTTTTCAACCACATTAAACAGAGTGACAGTGGTTATTTTATGATATTGGCCCTTATCTCCCTGCAAATCAACCATACAAAAAACATGCATATAGCTAACATTTTACTGTCACAGAACATAACTGTAATTCAATAATTTTGTAGGGAAAAGGAACATTTATGATTTATGATTCTTGTCTACTTCCCAAGGCCAAAACGTTTGATTTCTGTACTTATTTTTATTTTTGATTTCCTATGGAAGTCTCAGGGGGAAAAAATGACTAGAAACAAACATTTGCTAAAAAAATACTGACTGCAAATATATTTAATTCAGTGTTTCTATTTCATCATTTTTAGCTTTTACAACGCAGCTGGAGAACTGAATAAACCAACACTGAAGAAAATATTGTCAGGGTGCAAAAAGGTATTTTGTATTTAGATTTAATACAAAAAGGTATTTTGTATTTATTAACGTATTCAAAAACAATTTTATTTAGACATCCCCAGTTCTCCATAGCATGATTGATTGATGTGGTTCGATTAGGAGTTGATAAGTAACGTTGTCTCAGCAAGGTCAGTGGGTCTTGTTCCCAGATATATCTCCCTAAAAATTCAGATAATGGGTCTCTTTGTACAAATTTCCTCAAAGGGAATTATATTGGACACTGTTGTCAGAATTTTTGTACTTTGATTATGGAATGGAGCATGCTGATAATCTTCAACTTACGACCACAATGGAGCCTAAAATTTCTATTGGTAGGTAAGAGAGTTGCTAAGTGAGTTTTGCCCCATTTTATGATCTTTCTCGTCACACTTGTTAAGCAAACCACGGCAGTGGTTAAGTTAGTAACACGGTTGTTAAATGAATCTGGCTTCCCCGTTGAGTTTGCTTGTCAGAAGGTCGCAAAAGGGGATCATGTGACCCCGGGACACTGCGACCGTCATAAATATGAGTCGATGGACAAGTGTCTGAATTTTATTCATGTGACGTTGGGGATACTGCAATGGTTGTAAGTGTGAAAAACAGTCATAAGTCACTTTTTCCAGTGCCATCGTAACTTCAAACAGTCATTAAACAAACTGTTGCAAGACAACAACTACCTATATTTAACTACTGGTACTTCTGAATTAACACTGACTAAGAAATGTACTCTTTAGAAGTGTACTTTATACTTTTACAAGCTTCTTGTCACCCATTACCATTATATTCCTTTGGCTGATTTTTTGTCGTGTGTATGTGTATAATTTTTGTTTTTTAGCATTCTTAAGTTAGAATTTAAGTTAAAATGTATATGTATAAAAGGAAAATGCTGACCTTGAAATAAGTATTGTTGAAAATAATTATAAATTATAACCAGGCTTAAAATAAAGGCAGGCATAAAAGCTGGGGCTAAATGTGAGTCAGTTCCTTATATGATGCAACAAATTGTTTTGAAACTTATTAGCCATTAGCCGTGTTTTTTAATCTCTTGTTTATTTTGCATTTTCAGTTTTTAAGATTGTAGGTAAGATGCAGAGTCGCTGTTGAAAGATGAGCAGCCATATAAATAGATTGAAAGAAAGCAGACAGATATATATACCGTACATACATACTCAATTGCAAAATATAAATAGCCAACTAGACAAATTAGTACATTTTTAGAGCCAGTAACTTTTGTGAATTTCTTTGAAAGATTATGGTAGATATAATTACTGGTATTCATTTATCCCAGCTGTATTATTAGTTCTTGTGCTGACTCATGGGTTAAAATGTTAATTGTGGTTCTTTTGCTTCATGTTCACTTTGAAAGTAATAACACATTTCTGTGTAGCTTTTTTTAAAGAATGCCCTTTTGTTTTTCAGAATGTGATAGGCTGGTACAAGCTCAGACGTAATACTGATCAGACAATGACGTTTAGAGAACAGCTTCTTCACCAGCACTTACAGTCACACTTATCAAACCAGGGTCTTGTGTTCCTGTTACTCACTTCCAACGTAACCTCTTCAAGTTCATCCACTTACAAACTTGAATATGCCTTACATAAGCCACAAGAAGGGTAAGTAACAAATCTTGCACGATTTCTTTTCATTCAATTACATATTCATTCCGGTCAGAAATAACATGTTCCAGTGCAATAGCACACGGGTCCCCAACCCTCGGACTGCAGCCCAATAATGTGGCCTATTCGGAATAAGGCCACGGAAACGGCGTGTGAGCACAGGTCTGCTTGGGTGAGCATGCACACACATGCTCACCTGCTCACATGGAACCATCCCCTCTTCTCCCCCCCCACCGGTCCATAAAGCCAGAAGGTTGGGGACCGCTACAATAGCATGATCTGGGATTAATACTGTGTAACTCAAGGTAAGAGAACCAGATCAGTGCAGGCACCAAGTTAGAAACGGAGAGAGTGTGAGTTTTCATCCTTCCTTAGGCATAAAGCCAGGTGGATGATCTTGGGCCAGTCACTCTCTCTCAGCCCTAGGAAGAAAACAAGGGCAGAACACTTCTACCAAAAAAACTGGACAGACTTGTCCAGGCAGTCATTAAAAATCAACGCTGACTTGAAGGCAAAGCTCATCCACCCCCCTCCAGGATAACTTTAGATTCTCTCTATGAATTCCCTGTTTGAAATTAGAAAGACACCCTATTACAGTGGTGGCGAACCTATGGCATGGGTGCCAGAGGCGGCACTCGGAGCCGTCTCTGTGGGTACACATGCCATTGCTCACCTCCCCCCACGACCCCCTCCTCACCAGCAGCCCCCCTGGAGGAGTCGCCCCTGAGCGTGGCCCACGCAGAGCAGCGCAGCTAAGGACATGGCAGCCAGGCAGTGTAGACAAGACTCTGCCCTCACGCCCCATCGCGCACAATTGATGCTGCAGGGTGCGGGCAGAGTGCGTGGCCACCATGGCGCTGCTAGGCTGCCTGGGTGATCTGTGGTGGGCCCTGGAGGCAATGAGTGGCCCTGCGGGCAGGCAGGGTGCAGGATGGTGGGGCGGAGTGGGGGCACGGCAAGGGTTGGGGAGGGGCCAGTTTTGGGGCACTCGGTCTCTGAAAGGTTCACCATCACTGTCCTATTACAATGAAAATTATTCATTTCAGTTAAAATTTCGTATTTTACTTTTATCATCTCTGGCAACACTAATCAACTGATTCTTACAAAAATTAAAATTGTAAAATGATGAAATAAAGCCTAAAAGTTATTTTATCTGCCTATAACAGGGGTCTCCAAACTTGGCAACTTTTTAAGACTTGTGGACTTTCCCAAAATTCCCCAGCCAGCACGGCTGGCTGAGGAATTCTGTGAATTGAAGTCCACACTTGTTTTAAGTTGGTTTGGAGATCCCCCCCCCCCCCGGTCTATAATATCAGATTACATTTCCCCTCTCCTCCAGTCCCTGACCATTTTATCTGGACAGGTAGTCCTTGACTTATGACCACAATTGAGTCCAAAATTTATGTTGCTAAGTGAGAAATTTGTGAAATGAGTTTTGTCCCATTTTATTTGGCACATTTGTTAACTGAATCAATGCACTTGTTAAATTAGTAACATGGTTGTTAAGTGAATCTGGTTTCTCCACTGACTTTGCTTGTCAGAAAGTGGCAAAAGGGGATCCCATGACTCGGGGACACTGCAACTGTCATAAACGTGAGTCAGTTTTCAAGCATCCCAATATAAATCATGTGACCATGGAGATGCTGCAATGGTCATTAAGTGTGAAAAACGGTCATAAGTCACTTTTTTCAGCGCCGTTGCAACTTTGAACGGTCACTAAATGAACTGTGGTAAGTTGAGGACTGTCTGCACAAGCTGCATCTCACATGTCAACCTACTCTTCCTTTAAACTCCCGTTGTCCTTGAAGATAAATAGCAAAATGGCACATTTGTCATCTGCAACAGAAAAAAACGAATAAAACCTCCAGTATCTCTAATGATATATTTGGGTTTTCTGTAGACTTTTTCAGAGAGTGCCCGTAGTTGTAGCCAATCTAGGAATGGCAGAACAGCAAGGTTATCGAACTGTGTCTGGTTCCTGCATCTCTTCGGGCCTTTATAAAGTGATCGCAGAACACAGGTAGGAAAACAGCCCTCTCCTATTTTTTACAGTATGGCATTCTCAGTTATTCTTTAGGTTGATTTCAGACTTGGGTAGCTTAAAGAAAATGTATGTTCCATATTGCCCGTATCCTCAGTGGGATTTGGTCAAAATATTCTAAAACATCCGTGCTATGTGAGAAAAAAACTGTTCAGAGTTTCAGCTGTGCTTCCCTTCACAATATTCTAAAAATACATAAAATACTTAACAATCCTTTATCTTGCCTTGATTTTTCAGTTTTATTTCTCAGCTCAGTGGCTTTTGGTACTGGAGCATGAAAACATCCCAATTGCTGTTTTTATATTCTAACTTCAGTGTCCAACTTTTTGTTCTTTTCTCAGCAGTTTTGCTGTAAACTCATTTCTAGTACATTGAATACTTGAGTTTAAAACACAGATAAAGTGGTTAAGATTGCTGGAATTAAGGGTTTGTAAATCTTATGATTACATTTTGAAATATCTACATTTCAGTACTGTATTTTCTGAAAATAGTACATGCTAAGGAGGTGGGTTTTTTTTTGTATCAAAGGTCAGAATTCTTTAATGAAGATGGGTCTCTAAAAGAGGTTCATAAGATTAATGAAATGTATTCTACTTTGCAGACAGAACTAAAGGTAAGTTGTGAATACCTATTTTGTAACTTTTAAGTAGCAGTAGAAAATTTGAAAGACAATTGTTAATGCATCTCAAGTAAATAAGTGAGGCAGGTAAGGAAAGAAATCCTCGCTCCCCCCAGAAATTGACTTTCTTTCCTTACCTGACTCCGAGCCCCGTGCCGTTTCTCCTTCACAATCCGCCGCCACCACGTGCAAGGACACAAAGTTTTTTTTGGGGGGGGGAAAGGTCAATCAATCAATTCCAATTTCTCGCAAAAGATTGTGAAGTTGGAATTGATTCACCTTTTTTCCCCCAAAAAAACCTTTGTTTTTTTGCACGCTGCAGCGGCGGATCGCAAAGGAGAAACGGCATGGGGCTGGGAGTCAGGTAAGGAAAGTAAGGCAATTTCTGGGGAGGAGCGAGGATTTCTTTCCTTACCTGCCCCACTTGTTCCGAGGCCCCTTTCCACTGAGACGCATTGCTCTTGCCAATGGCCCGACCGCCCACTTCAGCATCCTCCCTCCCCGAGCCTCCGATGCTCCACCTGCTGTTTTGGTGGCTCTGTAGGCAGAACTGCAAAGTTCTCTTCTCTACAGCCACCAAAGCTGTAGCTGAATGGGCAGGTGAGGGGGGAACTTGCCCCACTTGTTCCACGACCGCTTTCGGCCAAGCCACATTGCAGCGGCATTGGCACAATATGCGAGGCGGCAAACAGCCGCATCATGCCGAAACCGGCCGTTTACCGCCTCCTGGCTGCTGCTATGAGGCCACGGAACAAGCCAGGTGGCGATAAGAAACTGGTATACCAGTTCCTTACCTCCCGCCTGGCTTGTTCCGGGGCCTCATGGCAGCGGCATTGGGTGCGACACGTGAGGCGGCAAATGGCCACATCGCGCCAAAATCGGCCATTTGCCACCTCGCGCATCGCGCCCAATGCCACTGCCATGAGGCTGCGGAACAAGCCAGGCGGAGGTAAGGAACTGGTATACCGGATCCCCCCTCCCCCATCAGCTTCTCCTCATCACAGAGGCCGTCCATGCAGGTCCTTAAGTAGGGCTTACTTTCGGGGGAGGGCTTATATTAGGTCCACCCCCCCCCAAAAAAAATCAGCTGGGGCTTACTTTCGGGGGCGGGTTTACTTTTGGGGAAACACGGTAGTTATGCAGCCTCCAGGCTAAAGATTGCGCATTCCTATGAAGAATATAGGAATTAGGGTAATGTGGAACTAGAAAGTGATGCTTAAAAATGTTTGATTGCTGACAAAAAAAACCTTGCATTCCACAGAAGTGTTCTTTTTCTCTTCTAGAATCTGTGCAGTAAAGTAGTGGATAGTGAAAAATCAGTAGAAAATCTGTTATCACAAATAGATCAGCTGAGGCAAGAAATAAGAAGCAAAAAAGAACAAAAGAAAACTACAGGTAATTGTGCCTAAAAAAAAAAAAAAGCTTATTGTGCCTTCAGGCCTTTAAAACATATTACAAATTGATTGTATAGAGAAGAATTCTCTTAATTCATCGTTATTACGTTCTTTATTGGTTTTGCTATAAAAGACCTGTGTAGTTATCGCCCTTATTTTTCCTTAACAAAACATGGAGAAGCTGTAATTTTGAAAATTGTTCATTGGTGTTAAATAAAGCACTTACAAAGATATCCATTTGTTTGCGAAAATAACCAGTTTAGTAAGCTGGTTCATATATATATATAGAATAGAGCTGGAAGGGACCTTGGAGGTCTTCTAGTCCAGCCCCCTGCTCAAGCCGTTTCAGACAGGTGAATGTCAAGTCTCTTCTTGAAAATCTCCAGTAATGGAGCGCCCATGATTTCTGGAGGCAGGCTGTTCCACTGGTTAATTGTCCTCACTGTCAGGAAGTTTCTCCTTAATTCCAGGTTGCTTCTCTCTTTGATCAATTTCCAACCATTGTTTCTTGTCCTTCCTTCTGGTGCTTTGGCTAATAACGTGACTCCCTCTTCTTTGTGGCATATATGTCGAGATCCAGTAGGTTTTGTTTTTAAGCATTCGGACGCTGCATATACCACTGTTATAAAGGTTCATTGTTGTAGGTTATCTGGCAAAATAACTTAAATTCGAGAAAGTTCTGTGCCATTTTCTCACGTTTGTTTTCACAAGAAAAGTGGAATTGGTAAGTGAACATAGAGAATGGCTAGAGCAGGGGTATCAAACTCAATTTCATTGAGGGGCGCATCAGCATTGCGGTTGCCCTTGGGGGCGCGGGGGTGTGTGGCCAGGGTGGGTGCGGCCTACTGGGTGAGCGTGGATGGAGTGGGTGTGGCCTACTGGGTGAGCATGGCCAACTCTACATTGTTCGCGCCAAGGGTCCCTGTGGGGGCCTGGGCAGGAATGGGACAGATCTGAGGGTCTCTGGCAGAAGGGGGTGGGACCGGGGCAAGCGCCAAGGCATGGTCCATTTCTTCATTCCTCACAAAGTGTGAAACCTCCCCAGCACGCACCCAGGGGGCGGAGCCGACGTGGCAGGGGCTGGTTCCTCGCTGTTTCCAGACGGCCTTGTGGAGCTAAGACTGAATGCGTTTCAGCATAGATGGACACCACAAAATTGTACATTGGCTCCCAGCCGGCCTGGACCAGGGCCAAGGTAGCGGAGGCCGTTCCCTCACTGTTTCCAGGATGGCTTCGCGGGCCACATGAAACCACTTTGCGGGCCGCAACTGGCCCTTGGCCTTGTGTTTGACATGTCTGGGCTAGAGCACAGACAAACCTTTAATATAGTCAGCCACAAATGCTTCGTGTTTCTGAACTTGCTTGCTGCAACATTTTATTGTTGATTCCTTGCATGAGCATTGGGATCAGACGATAACCCGCCCTTTCCCATATTCCTTTACCTGCTCACTAGTTATGCCCCAGCCGTTTTGCCAAACAGCTGCCCAAGAGAGTGCAGGTAATCCTCAGCTTACAACTGTAATGAAGCTTGCCTGTTAGAGAAATAAGTCATGATAGCCGTAAAGCGGGCCATCACGTGACTGGACCATTTTTTGCAGTACTCGTTAAGCAAACGACCCATAGCAAATAGCACTTCAGACTTATATACGGCTTCATAGTGCTTTACAGCCCTCTCTAAGCAGTTTACGGTGTCGACATATTGCCCTCCAACAATCTGGGTCCTCATTTTATTGACTCGGAAGGATGGAAGGTGGAGTCAACCTTGAGACAGACAGGATCAAACTCGCCAGCAGAATTAGCTTCCACTACTGCAGGGGTCCTCAACCTTGGCAACTTGAAGACTTGTGGACTTCAATTCCCAGAATTCCTCAGCCAGCTTTGCTGGCTGAGGAATTCTGGGAGTTAAAGTCCACAAGTCTTCAAGTTGCCAAGGTTGAGGACCCCTGCACTACTGCATTCGAACCACTGTGCCACTGCATCCAGATATTTAAGCAAACCTATTGTTCACTATGGAGCATTTTTGCCAAAACCTGGAAATAAAAGCCGGTTTTGAGCTAAAGCATCGTAAATCATGGTCACAAGACCACAGCACGCTTCAATTGGCCATCAATTCAGGCTAGTTGCCAAGCAACCAAAATATTGTGATGTGACCACAGGAGGCAGAGCTTCTGAGCCAGGTTATAAGTACCTTTGTGGAGGTCTGTTGTAACTGAACTGACACTAAGAGATTGACTATAAGTTGAGGACTATCTGTAACTAGAAAAAGGTGGCTTATACAGTAGAGAGGATCACGGTGCATGCCATAATTTCCATTTAATTTATCCATCTCCATCCATGGTTCAAACTTGGCATTTAATAGGTGCGTCCTGGAGCTGTCACAAGCACCCATTTATATTTTACAAGGGGTTTATATGTTACAAAAAGGCAAAAACAATGGTCTTCACTTTTTATCCAATAATAAAGGATTTTATAAATGATAAATGGGTTTCTGTGTGCATATATATGTATATATATCACAAACAATGTAAAGGAACCAAGGGGTGGCCTGGTATATACTGTAGCTGCTGTAACATATAGCCAGGCAGAAAAATAAAACAAGATTTCATTCTTTAAAAATTAGTTACTTATTACATGTAATCAGAAAAGTGATTTAAAATAAAATCTAGTTTAAGGAAAGTACAAAAAAATTTTTAAATGTTGAGATTGGTTGGGCAATCTCTAGAGTAGAGTTACCCAACCTTTCCAGCTTGGCAGCCCAGAAGGAGAGGAGCAATGTGCACGCATGTGGCCCGCATGCCTGCACACACAAATGGGCGTGTGCACGGCAGCAACCCTAGTGTGCACACATGCACAAGCGAGCTGCGTGTGCCTGCGGCGGCGCACTTGCGTAAATGGGCTGCGCATGCCCAAACATGCGCATGCCCAAACAGGCCGCTAGGATCGTGTGACACTGGTGGGGGTGCTAGCACCCCCACGCATGCGCAAATGGGGCCATTGGCACCCATGCAGCAACACTACCACAAGTGGGAGGGCTCGCCAGCTATTCCTGCAGCCCAGTGGCCAACAGGCCACTGCCTGGTACTGGGCCGTGGACCATAGGTTGGGGACCCCCTGCTCTAGAGCATTTTAAAATTGTAGTCAATTGTTGAACAAACTAAATTCAAATTATAATTCCTGTCTTGCCAACTAGTAAGGAAACTAACTATTCCAGTAGGAAAAAGATAAGGAGAGGGGTGACCCTTTGTAATTCCTGCTACATCCTCACTAAATAAAAATTAGCTTTATCTGAAATCCAGTTCCTTGGTACGATATACCCTATATTGTTATTTGGGCATGTAATAAACTGTTTCACTATAAGGGGGAAAAAATGCTGCTTTTCAATTAATAGATTCAGCCTTTCCATATAATGAAAATATCCTCTAATCTGACTTTTTCCTTTCTCTTTTCCTCTTAGAAAAAGATAGAAATTACTCAGAGGAGCCAAACGAGAATATTTTTCTCTGTCAAGCTATGCAGCACTTTTTCCCAAATTCTGGGCTGCAGACAAGCATGGTTACTTTAAAAGGAAGGCAGATTTCTAAGCAGGAATGCACAGCTGACCACAACATCAAAATCACGGACCAGTTAACTTTAATGATCAAAGAAAGCAATTTCCCTGAAGCAGACACGAGGCAGGCAACGAAGCGAAAAGCTATTGTGAACACAAGCGGGCCAAAGACATGCAAAAGACTGCGGTCTTTCTACCTTAATCAAAAACTATTTCAGGAGGACCAGGAAAGTAACGACCAAGAATTAAACGTTACGAGTAACACCAAAGCAACTGAAGATGTGACCCCCTGATGGGCGTACACTGTCTTCAACTCTTGAATCCCTTCCAGTGACAAAGAGTTTTTGTTGTTGTTGTTATTCTCACCTCATTGCTGCTACTTATGTTATTAGCACACTTCATTAATACATGGAATACTTGAGTCAACGTTTTGGAAATAAAACATCGCCCTTTTAAACTGGCATCATTCTTACAACCTGGAATAAGTTTCAGATTGCTTTTCCTCACTAAATCTTACATTTTTTACTCTCTTAAAGAGTACAGCAGAAAACAGCAAAGTCAAAGAACCTATCTGTTGTTTTTAATAAGAATAATATTAAGAATGCAATGGTACTTTCTTTAAATATCAAAGCTGGCTCTGAAGTGAAGCCTTGGCCCTAGAATCAAAACACTGCAGTGAAAAAGAACAACCTAAGAATTCCATTCCCAATTATCACTTTCCATTCTGTTTCAATACTCAGAATTTTTACAGCCTTGTTACGTATTAGAGCTAAAATGTGTAAGTAAAATTGAATTTGAGAGGAATGAGTCCCAGTGATGCTAATTTAAAGTAGGATTACAGTATCCTTAGGTGAAAAGGTTGACTTTCTATCCTGCATATGAAGCAACAGCTGTTGTTCAAAAGACCTCATATAGCAGTGGTGGCGAACCTATGGCACACGTGCCAGAGGCGGCACTTGGAGCCCTCTCTGTGGGCACGTGCACCGTTGCCCCAGCCCCGCCTTCTCCCATGGCCCCCTCTCCAGCATCCTCCTTGGAGAGTCATCCCCAGGCACGGCCCACAGGAAGCAGCGCAGCCAAGGACATGGTGGCCGGGCAGCGAGGACAAGACTCTTCCCTTGCGCCCTGTCGCGCGCAGATGCTGCGGGGCACGGGCAGAAGGCGCTGCTGGGCTGCCTGGGTGATGTGTGGTGGGCCATGGAGGTGGTGAATGGCCCAGCGGGCAGGGCGGAGCAAGGACGGGAGGCGGTTTTTGGGCACTCAGTCTCTAAAAGGTTCGCCATCACTGCCATATAGGTTGAAGCAATCATATTCACTATAGAGACACATCTTTCTCCTTATAATGCTACATTTGAGGATACAATTCGTTTTGTACTCACTATACAATATGAAATAATAGGCTTCTCATGGACATATTGATAGCTTGTTTATTAACATTCTAATAATAAACATAGTTACAAAAATAGGTTAACCATGATTGATACAATTTATTCTGGATATTTAATATTACATAATTTGGGGTCGTTGCGAAACACTGGGTCCTTATGCATAACCGACATAAATCCTGTAACAGAATAATTGAGTTTTACAAACAAAATATTTTTTATAAATTATCCAAATGTATGACTATTTTATAATACTTACCCATGCGATGGGCTCTTTTAATGGCTTTTGCTATTTCTTTTTGTTTCTTTGTACATAAGCCTAAGAAGCAAACAAATAGTCATTTCAAAAATTATTCCAATAATACTAATTGCTCAATTTCCTTTGAGCCTTTGTTTCAAAAATAAAAATTATTTTAAGTAACTTTTTTCTGCTTCCTTGCTTTACAAAGCAGGTACTTGGGCCGGTATAACTCAAAATGGGTGTCAACTATTTAAAATTCTTACATTATAAGTACTGAACAATATTTCACTATTGAATCTGGATATGAGTAGATAAAATTCTGCTATAAGTATTTTTTGTACATACCTGTTATATGTTGACCATGTATGTGACCGGTGTATGGAGAAATAAACTGTGATAAAAGCTGTTGGAGAAATAAGTTGGTTAAATCTTCAAAGCAGTAAAAATTAAATAAAATTAATACCTTTGTTAGCAAATATTTGCGATTGGACAATATTTCATACTTATTTAAACAAAAGGACTGTGTTGGTGTAAATTCATAATATTTTATTCGAAAATCTAAAACCATAACTTTTGGTTGTTTTAACCATTTAGTTGTGTCCGACTTGGCAACTTTACAGGCAAGCCCTCTCCATGCTACCATCTCAAGCACAGCTCCTTTCAGTTGTTGGATGTTCCTCTATCAGGTTCGATGTTATCAAGCCAGTGTGTTCTTTGCTGGCCCTTCCTTGTTCCACTAATCATTCCTAGCATCACTGTCTTCTCCAATGAATTTGCATGCACGATGTGGCCAAAGTAAATCAGACGTAGTCTTGTGATTTTAGCTTCTAGTGATGTGTCTTTGTTACTTTGTCTGCCCATGGTATACACCAGGGGTAGGCAACCTTAGCTGTTTTATGACTCATGGACTTCAACTCCCAGAATTCCTGAGCCAGCATGGCTCAGCTTGGAAACCTCTTCCTTTCCCCTCAGCATGGCTGGCTCAGGAATTCTGGGAGTTGAAGTCCACGAGTCATAAAAGAGCCAAGGTTGCCTACCCCTGGTATACACAATAACTTTTTACCAGTGTAATTAAAATATGTAGTTTAATTTGGAACCCTGGGGTAGAGTGTAGCGTAGAGATCTCTGGTGGGTAAAATGCAGCATATCAAACTAGATACAAAAGTGGGAGCAGAGTCACGTATTCCATCCTTTTTAACCCTAATTTTGTGATTAAGCAAAAATTGTCAAGTTAATTCTTAGTAGTAAGAAAGTGTGTATACACTGCTATAAGCCTTCAGAGTAGCTACATCTAGCCAGCAAGAAATATGTTATACTATAGGTAGCCCTCAAAGTACAATAATTGAGCTATGGCAGTTACTAAGTGGGTCACCACATGACTGCACTCGATACTATGTCCTTTTTAGCAGCAGTCATTAAGTGAATGCTGTGGTTGTTAAGCAAACTTTCACCAATGGGCAATTTTTGCCAGAAAAAAACTGGCAAAAACTGTAGAAAATTGTATTCATGTGACTGAGGGGTGTGCATAAGCATGTGCAGTTGTTGGAGCTTCAAAAAACAAGTTATAAGTAACTGGGGAGATCGGTCGTAAGTTCAATTGTTCACCAAGGAATTGGTTGTTAAGCAAGGCCTGCCTGCATTTGTTATGCTAAAACAATACATGATTGGCCTGTCTTCATTTCTCACTTGTACATAGATTTAAATAGGGTTTTTTTAATTATTTAAATTTATTATGCCCACTGCAGCACACCTTGGGCTGCTTACAAAATATGATACTAAATTAAAAGAATTAAAAACAGACAAGAGAAAACAAGGCACCTCCTGAGTAAAAACAAATAAAACATAAAGAGTATCCAGAAGCTTCAGCTGGTGCAGAACACAGCTGCATGGACGGTTTGGGGGGGCCCTACAATGGCCTCTGTTACCATTGTTTTGTGAGCTGAACAGCTTGCCAATTCACGATGTTGGCTGTCACTTTGAAAGCTCTTCATGGTATGGATCCAGGTTACCTGAGAAACCAACTCATCCTGATGCGGGGTAGGCAACCTTGGCTCTTTTATGACTCGTGGACTTCAACTCCCAGAATTCCTGAGCAGCATGGCTCAGCTTGGAAACTCTCCCTTTCCCCTCAGCATGGCTGGCTCAGGAATTCTGGGAGTTGAAGTCCACGAGTCATAAAAGAGCCAAGGTTGCCTACCCCGAATTAGCCTATCATACCCACACCAGCAGAAGGGGTATGCTGTGGATCCCATTGACCAGGTAATTTCGGCTGGTGGGTCCAGAAGAGAGAAAGTGACTGGCCCACCATCACCCAGCCAGCTTTCATTCCTACTGGAGGTCTAGAACTCCCATTCTCCTGGTATCTAGGCCAACCTAATCTTAAAAATGTTTTTGCTGTTTCCTATAATGCGGTAGTGACCAAAATTGTGGAAACCTTTTGGGGAAAATGTACAGTAGAAATGCCACCTTTGGTTAAGTTTCCACCAAGTTTCTCAGCTTCAATACATGACATCAATAACTGAATCCTACTGTGATCTGATTGGCTCATTGCCAGAACAAGATGACACCTGACTGGCTCTCTAAACACTCATGCTCATTGGCTACAATCAGATGAAAGGAAAGCTACCTGATATCAACCTAAGCAAGTTGTACTTCCTTTTTCTGGTTATTTGGCTATAACTTTTCATAGAATACAGTACAGATAATTGAACAAACTATGTTGCATTACATTCTTAATTAAATTATCTTTCCATTGATATATAATTTTATGGTACTACTCCCAAAAAAGTGGTGTTATTAACTATCAAACCTCAAATGTACACTTTTCCCAAAAGGTTTCCACAATTTTGGCCACTACTGTATACACAACATCAAACTAAAATACTTATTAATTTACCTGTATATTCTTGTAGTCAATGGTTACACCACATAAGACACACTTTTTAGGAGGCTCCTTGTAGGGATTTTCTATCGATACAGGCTGAAATGACAGAAATTTTAGTATTTTTCTTTCAGCTCTTCCTATTCTGAAGTCCTTCAGCAAGAAAGGTATCCTTTTGCCCAAACTATGTCAGCCACACTAGATGGACCAGACCAGGAAATCCACAAGAGGGCTAAAACTACTTTTATTTAGATTGGCTACAATGACACAATATTGAGGTTGCAAACTGGTGTAACTATAATGTCCTATATGCCCTTTTTCAAAGGGGTTAATCTACAATATCCCTTTAAATTTAGGATCAACTTTTCACAATTTTACTGGAAGAAATTAGAAACATATCCCCATTCTATTTGTAGATATTTTATATTGGTCCCTATGAGTTATGGAAAGTGCAACCAGATTTCTTTTTTAAAAAAATTAATAACACATATATGACAAGCACTTTACTGTATTCACTATATTCTGACATTCTGTATCAAATATTTAACAATACATGGAGTTTAAGTATGTTGTAGTAGTATCTTACCATATCTGCTTGGGTGGATTCCTGTTCACTATATGAACTACTCTCTCGTTTCCATGATCTACCTGAAAAGAAATACAAATGTACAAACTGTTAAAATATACTAATCAGCCAAATAAAGAACAACAGAAATGGCTCTGATTTCCTGGAGATTTCTTTCCTTTTTGACCTTCTGCAAAAATACAAACTTGTCATCAATATAAAAAAAAACTGAGATGGACACATGAATGATGTATTTGAAACTAGCAAAAATGCTGACAGCTCAGGCTTGCATTTAATCATATGGATAGCTATCCTAAACAAAAAGGAATCCCATGCAAGCTAGTGGAAGAAAAGCCTGCAAATAAGTAAGAAGTCTACCAGAGAAGGTCTGGCTTGCTCTGCTCCCAGCCATATTGGGAGAAATTCTCTCCAGAAACATTATTAAAAAGATACAGACTGGTGGAGGAAGTACTGATAACTGTCTCCACTACAGAAGCCAAGCTCATAGAGTGTGATCTAATTCTCCTCAGTCAAGCTGATAGTCAGAAGGCAACTTTTAAAAACTAGCCTAAGATTTTGTAAAGCTTACGTTTCAATATTAGGCATGTCTGTTCCTCCAAAAATAGCAGCAGAAACTGTTTACTTCATATTAGGCTTCCAAAAAAGTTATTGACTAATAGCTTTCATGGACAAATTAATGACTGTGTTGTAGTAGCCATTTAAAAATGCATAACTGAAACAATATAGTTGAAAAATAATCTCGTTTGCTGTAGTATGCGAAAGAACATAAGAACAGCACTTCTGGATCAGTCCAAGGTACATCATGTAAAAAAAAGAAAGCTGTGGAGGGATAGAGAAAAAAGTATACTGTGAACTGCATAGTGGATCATATTTACAAAGCCCATTAACAACAAAAGCTATTTTATTATTCTATTCCAAGATATACCTCCTGCAAAGGCTCATAACATCCAAACTAGGTAATTATAACAAGTAAACATTTTGATGCATTAATTCCCAAAATTCATATATGGCCCTTTTTTACGTACAGTATCTGTAAGTATTTATTATTTCATTTTTTTTATTTTAAACTGCCCAATAGCCTAAGATCTCTGGGCAGTTTTCAATAAAAAGATAGACTTTGCACTAAAATTAAATATAACACAAAATGAAAATGACAGCAGCCAAGGTGGTCATTCAAAATACAGGTAGTCCTCAGGTTACGCCCACAATTGAGCCTAAAATTTATATTGCTAAGTGAAACATTTGTTAAATGAGTTTGCTCCATTTTATGACTTTTCTTGCCACAGTTGTTAAATGAATTATTGCATTTGTTAAGTTAGTAACATGATTGTTAAGTGAATCTGGATTCCCCATCAACTTTGCTTCTCAGAAGGTTGCAAAAGCTGATCATATGATCCCAGGATACTCTAACCATCATAAATATGAGTCAGTGGCCAAGCCTCTGAATTAGGATCATGTGACCATGGGGACGCTGCAATGATCGTAAGAGTGAAAAACGATCATGTTACTTTTTTCTGTGCCGTTGTAACTTTGAACAGTCACTAAATGAACTGTTGTAAGTCGAGGACTACCTGTAATAATAAGGCCAATTAAAAACCCTGAGAAAATAGAAAGGTGGCGCCGAAACTATTCTAATGTGGGGGCTGGTTATGCTTCTCTGGAGACAATTCCGTTGTTAAGGTGCTCTCGTTTTGATGGGCAAGGGTCCCGATAGGTGGGCAACCACATCAGAAGGGATGAGCGTCTGAAACAACTCCCATCTCTTTGCTCAAATGCCTGAATTCTTTCGTTATTCTATTCCAGGAGTCTTCAAACTTGGCCCTTTTATGACATGTGGACTTCAACTCCCAGAATTCCTCAGCCAGGCACGCTGGCTGAGGAATTCTGGGAGTTGAAGTCCACAAGTCATAAAAGGACCAAGTTTGAAGACCCCTGTTCTATTCTATCCTAAATTAATAGCCCAATCACATGGAAAAGATTATCATTATCTTTCCTCGCAGGTTCCACAGGGTTGCTGTTCGCTTACCCAGGCCAGGCGCACAGGTTCCGTTTCTTACAGCAGCGAAGAGATAATAAAACCTTCCCGAAATTTTGGGAGAAGAAACCAAGCCTACCACGGCAGCCATCTTTTCCCCCTTACAAACTTCCGGTTCAGACCGGATAGGAAAGTAACGTCCAATCAAGTCCCTCTCACAACACGTCCGGCTTACAGAAAAGGAAAAAAAAAAAGCTTTCGCGCCTCAACTGCGGTTGCTCCAACGGCCAATAGAGTTCATTAGCGGCTAGCCAATCCTCTCAAGGAAGTATCTTCCGCTCAACCAATCCGGCAGTCTTTCGTCATAACAGCACGTGATTCATGCCAGTTCTATTTTTTTTTCGAATCCAAGTCCCATCAGCCCTTGCCATCATGGCCGCCTATGCGAGGGATGCCGGGAGTTGTAGTTCATTCATCGGAAGCTCATGCGTTCACCTTCAATAGGACGCGAGGGCAGGAAGTGCCTATTCGGAGTCCCGCGTAAATGAAACTCTGCGCCCCTTTTTTTAGTAGATGGTACAGTCCTCGCTCAGAAGCGGACGGTTCCTTTCCCGAAAAAAGGGGGGAATCAGAGAAAATGGAGTCGCTGCCTGTCGTAAGAAGTGGCCCAATTCTGTACCCGCCTGTCTGATGCAGCACCGGCTGACTCGGGAAGTTGAGCCCGGCTAGGGTTATACCGCTTTTCCATGGAGGGCGGTGGGTTTGCCATGAGAAGGACGCAGGAGCGAAGGAGGCGGCGGCGACGGCAACCGGGGCAAGGGGCGGATTCGCCCGGCATAAATTGCCGAGGGGGATCCCGGTCTATTTCCCCGCCGGCCAGCAAGAAACTGAACTCGGACGAAGGCGAGGAAGAGCTGGAGGAGCCGAAGCCGGAGGTACTGCCTATTCCAGGCCTCTCCGGGCATCGTGTCGAGCGGACTTGAGGCTGGGAGGCTCCATTATAACAGAATAACAGAACTGGAAGGGACCTTAGAGGTCTTCTAGTCCACCCCCCTGCTTAGGCAGGAAACCCTATACCAGGAGTCCTCAACCTTGGTTACTTTAAGACTTGTGGACTTCAACTCCCAGAATTCCTCAGCCAGCAAAGCTGGGTGAGGAATTCTGGGAGTTGAAGTCCACAAGTCTTAAAATTGCCAAGGTTGAGGCCCCGTGCCCTATACCATTGCAGACAAATGACTGCCCAGTCTCTTTATTATTAATTATTTATTTATTATATTATTGTTGTTGTTGTTGTTGTTATTATTATTATTATTATTATTATTATTATTATTATTATTATTATTATTATTATTATTATTATTATTATTATTGGTCGCACAATCAGTCAGATGTTTTTTTACCTGGATTTGGCATTTTTACCCATTTATGAAGTCCTCAAGGATCTAGGATGGGCAGATGATGTTTTATGTTGTTAAGAGATGTAAGCCTTCTGTAATTGACTGACGGTGAATTTGTCAATGCCTATGGTGTTCAAGTGGTGCTCCAGTTATCCATTATCATTATCTTCTATATAAATAAAAATGTAAATGTTTGTTTGTTCAAAATCTTAAATCTCTGAAAGTTCTTCACCGATTGCTTTGAAATTTTGACACAACGTTGCATTCGAATACGCGCGTGTTTTTATATACTTATATAGATGTCACACCTGTGACAGGTAAAACATGCTTTTTTTTAAAAACAGCGCCATCTGTTGAACGTAAAAGCAACACACGCTTTTACCAGACAGCCACAGCAACGCGTGGCTGGGTACAGCTAGTCATTAATATTATTGTGCAGTTAAGTAAACCGTGCTGATTTGAGGCTGGGAGACTCTTGTGGGAAGAGTTGGTGAGCCAGTTGGATTTGCCACATTTGAACTCAAGTGATGCTGATTAAGGGGAGGTGGGGAAAAAAGAAAGGTGAGCTAGTTCAGTTGGGCAAGAGCAACATTTTGGACTCTTGTATGTGTGCATGTGTGTGTGTGTGTTGCAGAGACATAATACACCCATTAAAAATCCCCCAAAATTGACCTATCCTCTGTAAAGATAAATTCCTTGTTGTTGTTGTTCTGTCTCTAAATCGTGTCCAACTCTTCATGACCCCATAGACCACAGCACACCAGCTGCCTCAACCCCCGTCCTTTACTGTCTCCCGGAGTTTGCCCAAATTCATGTTCATTGAATCAGTGACACTGTCTAACCCAGAGGTCTTCAAACTTGGCCCTTTTATGACTTGTGGCCTTCAACTCCCAGAATTCCTCAGCCAGGCAAGCTGGCTGAGGAATTCTGGGAGTTGAAGACCACAAGTCATAAAAGAGCCAAGTTTGAAGACCCCTGGTCTAACCATCTCATCCTCTGCCATCCCTTTCTCCTTTGGCCTTCCGTCTTTCCCAACATCAGGGTCTTCTCCAAGGAGTCCTCTGTTCTCATTTGGTGGCCAAAGTATTTGAGCTTCAGCTTCAGAATCTGTCTTTCCAAAGAACAGTCAGGTGGATTTCCTTTGGGAGGAACCTCTAATAATTCCTTGCAGTACTCCATTCTTGCATCAAAAAAAAAAAAAAAGAGATCCAGAATGTCAATCATTCCAGTGACATCGCAACATGACAAACCATGCCTTATATATAGGCCCTCAGGCATGGCTGAAGATGATATGGTAATGTGGTCTCCAGACCTGTATCCTTTCAGCAACTGTTTCTGTTTTTGTACTGGTCTAAATGATGTTCAGCTGAACTGCTCATGTTACATATTAAGGATATAAGGGAAACTTTGATGTTTTAAAAAAGAGGAGTGTCTTGGTCAACAACTCACTCATGCCTTTTTATAAGCAAGTAGTCCTCAACTTGCAACCAATCATTTAGTGACTGAAGTTACAACAGCACTGAAAAAAGGGACTTATTACTGTTTTTCACACTTATGACCGTTGCAGCATCCTCATGGTCACGTGATCAGCATTCAGATGCTTGGCAACTGGCATGTATTTATGACGGTTGCAGTGTCCCAGAATCATGTGATCACCTTGTGCGACCTCCTGGCAGACAAAAGTCAATGGGGAAGCCAGATTCAATTAACCAACCGGGTTACTAACTTACAACTGAATCACTGGCAAGAAAAGTCGTAAAATGGGGCAAAACTCACTTAACTATCTTGCTTAGCACAGAAATGTTGGATTCAATTGTAGTTGCATGACAAGGACTGCCTGTATAATACTATTTCACCCCCATAGAATGAATGTTTTATCATCCAAGATACAGTCGCTTAGTATTAAGAAGTCTCATTCACTTTTCACCTGAGTCATTCTTTTTTTTTTCTTTCAGGATTTTGACAGTGATGATATGTTTGCAGACTATGATAGCTTTTCTGGCAACAACTCTTTCTTAACTGAAATTGATGATATAGAGCAAAAATGCATGCCCTTTGGTAGGGATAGTCTGGATTCTGACAGCTTTGATCGCAACACTGCTGTGCGGCCTGTAGGTGGAGCTAATCAGGTGACAATTGCCAGGAACCTGGCACAGGTATTTTCGGAGACAAAACAGGTATTTTCGGAGACAAAACAGGTATTTTCGGAGACAAAACAGGTATTTTCGGAGACAAAACAGGTATTTTCAGAGACAAATGCTGCAGTTAGCTCCAGAGTCATAAGAGAATATGATTCTTTGAAATGGATGAAGGAACAGGAGAATAGCGCAGAGCCTCAAGATAATGATCTAGAAGGTCTTCCATCCTCCCAGCTTTTGTTTCGTCAACATTCAGATGAATGTTCTCAGAAAGAAACGGCCATAGAAGAAATACCCTGTCAGCTGGACGTCTCAGATCTGCCATACTGCAGTGACACAGAGAGTAATAAACAAGACTGTGAGTCGGTGAGAACTGCTTTGTTTGAACCAAGTAGGCGGAAGAGTCTCAAAGACCATCTCAAAAACACAATGGCCGGGAATGCCAGATCCTCTGCTTCATTGGTTTCTAAAAGCAAACAGCTGAAAGAAGCCATTGTAACTGAAGAGATGGCCATTGCGGAGGCAACTGACAACTTGGCTTTTGTAGATATCGGCCCTTTCTATGGTTTACCCACCAAAGTCAAGGAGCTACTGCTACGTATCAGAGGAATTGAGAAGCTTTATGGTAACACCACCCATCTCTTGTTTATTGTGACCTTTGCTACTATGATAAATTCCAGTTCGGTGCAATCTTTGCTTGTTCTGTGAGTGAAACCAAATTATTTTACACGTAATCCTTGACTTACGACCGTAATTAAGACTGAAATTTCAGTCATAGATTGTTGCGGTCGTAAGTTCGGGCATTGCATTTTTTTTTTGACATTTTTGTGGTGATCGTTAAGCGAATGCCACTGTTGTTAAGCGAATCCATTTTCCCCAATGAATGTTTTTTGCCAGAAACCGGGGGGGGGGGGGAATGCTGGAAATTAGCAAAAAAACCCATCATAAATAGCTGCCAATGTCTGCAGGACACTTGAAATGGCAATAAAGGTGAGTCAGTTGCCAGGCAACCAAAATGAACTCTTTTTTTTTCATTGAAGTACGAAAACAAAGGAGCTATCCCTGTACAGTACTAAGTTTACATTTTTGTTTTTAAGTATTTCCTAGGTCAGTGGTGGCGAACCTATGGCACACGTGCCAGAGGTGGCACTCAGAGCCCTCTCTGTGGGCACACGTGCCACGCCCTGGAGATGGCAACCATCTTCAACCAGCCGCTCACTAACTCGCCAAGGTCCCACGTGGCCAGATGCATCCCAGCACCCATGTGCTCGCTGGCCTCTGTGTGCGGGGGCTGATGGTGTCAGGCAGCAGCCGCCCCGGCCCCTGCCTCACCTTGCCCTGTGACAATGGCAGTGCCACCCTGCCTCACCTTGCCTCGCCTCATCCCGCAGGACGAGCCTCCTGCCCACCGCCCCACCTGCCAGAGCCCCCCTGGATCTCCCCCTGCCCGGCCCCCACAGGCGTCCCTCCCCACAAGCAACATCAAGGTGATCACGCCCACCTGGCACGCGGCGATAAATAAGTAGTTTTTGGGTTGCAGTTTGGGCACTCGGCCTCTAAAAGGTTCGCCATCACTGTCCTAGGTTCTTATAAAACAATACAATTTTAAGTGTGTAGTTTGTCAAGCTTTCTTAGAATCCCCAAACAGTTTAATTTTCATCGTGAATCATTATGAATACTATAAGACAGGAAAGGAAGACTATAAGAAATGCCTTTTAATTTTACAGACTGGCAACATGATTGCTTAATGTTCGAATCCCTGCAAAAGCGAAAGAACCTAATATATTCCTTGCCAACCAGTGGTGGAAAAACACTCGTGGCTGAAATTTTAATTCTTCGAGAATTACTCTGCAAGCAAAGAGATGTTTTAATGATCCTGCCTTATGTGGCTTTAGTCCAGGAGAAGGTGCGGAAACCAGCTTTATATTCATCTCCATCATTGAATTTGATTAACTCCCATCCATAGGAGGGCTCCAGTTGTGGTAGGATAAAATGCTGGGTTTGCACAGTTGGGATTTCAATTCTGTTGTACAGGTAGTCCTCCACTTACATCTATTCATTTAGTGACCATTAAAAGTTACAACGGCACCGTACAAATTGATTTATGGCCATTTTTCACACGCCTGTTGCGGCATCCCCATGGTCACGTGATCAAAATTCGGATGCTTGGCAACTGGCTCGTATTTATGACAGTCGCAGCGTCCAGGGGGGATCACGCGATCCCCTTTTGTGACCGTCTGACAAGCAAAGTCAATGGGGAAGTCAGATTCCCTTAATAAACATGTTACTAAGTTACCAACAGCAGTTATTTCATTTAACAGCTATGACAAGAAAAGTGGTAAACTGTGACAAAATTCACTTAACAACTGTCTTACTTAGCAATGGAAATTTGGGGCTCAATTGTGGCCGTAAGGCGAGAACTACCTGTACTGGAGGTGGGGAGGCGAACAACCAAGAAAATGCCTACGTTTTATTTCTTCTTATTCTTCTTGTGCCATATCCGTTATCGGACGTTGGCGATCATGTTGGTGATCCTGTTTTTATCAGCCACCGCACGAAAAAGTGCTGCTGAGTTTTCTCCAAACTGGTTCCTTAGATTTTGAAGCCACGATGTTCTTTTTCTGCCTGGACCTCGTTTGCCTTCAATCTTTCCCTGGAGGATTAAATGGAGTAGGCCGTATTTTTCTGGGTGTCGCATCACATGTCCAAAATATTCTAATTTTCGTTTTTTAATTGTTTTGATGATTTCCCTTGGCTTTCCCAGGCGGCTTATCACCTCCTCATTTCTGATCTTGTCAACACAGCTTATAGGTAACAGCCGCCTGTAAATCCACATTTCAAATGCTTCTACTCTATTTGCTGTTGTGAAATTGTACCATCGTAAAATGACGTTTTTTCCATTTTCTTCCTTTTCCAGGTTGGGAGTTTGTGTGGTTTTGGAATGGAGCTGGGTTTCTTGGTGGAAGAATATGCAGGAAGTAAAGGCAGGATTCCTCCAATCAAGAGAAGGCAAAAGAAATCTGTGTACATTGCCACTATTGAAAAGGGACACAGCCTGGTGAATGCCTTGATAGAAGCAGGGAGAATCAACACCCTGGGTCTAGTAGTAGTTGATGAGGTTTGTTACGATGTTTTATCATTATTTAGTATTTCCAGCTTGTTTGTATTCAGTAAATTATTTTGCAGCTTGGTGATTTTGATATCTTTTTCTCATTTAAAGTTGCATATGCTTGGAGAAGGTGGTCGTGGCAGTACACTAGAAATGACTCTTTCTAAGATTTTGTATGCAAGCAGTAAGTTAACTCTGTATAATATCTGAAAAGTCATCTCTGAACTCACTATATTGTATACTAATAGGTTAGGTATGGCAATTTCAAAAACCTACAAAACAGCTGCACACTGTATTTATCTGAAAAGAAGAAGTAACATGAAAGGATTATCTTACATTTGTTGAAATTCTGGTGCCAAACGTGGTCATAAGTTGTTATTGTATTGTTATAGTATCGTTGTTATTGTAAGGGAGAGTGGCAGTTTCAAAATCCTACAAAAGGGCTGCGCACTGAAAAAAGACTCTTCCCCAAATAACTCAAAAGGGTTATCTTACTTTTATTGACATTCTGGTGCCAAAATGTGGTCATAAGAATATAACACTGTAAAGTGTTATAAACAGAATTGGCCAAATTCTGGCTTGCAAACTATGCATGGCTTAGCATTTTTGTAAGAACAAGGAAATACAATTCTTAAAAAACAGTCTCTTATATATTTATGCATCTTGAAATTGTTTGATTGCCACTTTCTGTAGATGCAGAGAGAAGCTGCATAAAACATATGGATACTCCTGTGACTTTACATTCGGAAGATAATTCGCATTGATTTCAGTAAAACTTAGTTATCATTGACTACTATTTGAAGATTTCATTGTGTGCTTTTAAGAATAAGGAATTTTTGTCCTCTCAGAGGCTTTCAGAAATATATTTCATGCTGTTTGTATTGGAACAGTATTCAGTATAGTTGAATATATACGTCACCAAGACACTTCCAATTTTACGCGGGAGAAAACCCGAATAACCAAAGACCTACATACAAACACTCGCGAAAACCTCAGAAAACATATATATATATATATATATATATATATATATATATATATACACACACATACACATACACATACATACATACATATACATATACATGTGTGTGTGTGTGTGTGTTGAGATGAAAGCATAATGGCAATATTTTTATGTAAGAAGTTCTTGACATTCTTTTAGTAATTTTGTTTGCAATGTGAATTCTTGCATATTTAAATTCTTAGGCATGCATGTTTAGCATTTAAGCCTGATCTATTTCATTTTTGCATAGAAACAACTCAGATCATTGGAATGAGTGCAACATTAAAAAATGTTGAAGACTTGCAGCAGTTCCTGAAAGCAGAATTCTACACAAGTAATTTCAGACCTGTATGTTATTGAATTAAAAAAATGTACCGAACTTTCTGAGAAATAATTGTTACATAGTAACAGAGGTGAATGAATAGTGCAGGGGTAGGCAACCTTGGCTCTTTCATGACTCGAGGTTGCCTACTCCTGGAATAGTGTTTGCAAAGGCAGTTTAGTTTCCTATAGAGAATTCTATAGAGAAGTTGGTGTAATCACCTTACAAAAAATAGACAAATTGGTTTGAAAATGAAGGTTTGATCTGTTGTTCAGTCACTTTGATGTTTACAGTTATTTGATGAAAGACCTGGAAATATTTTTACTTCCTTGTCACAACTGTGTAAAAGTAGGGGAAATGCTCATCTTAATTAAATTTGTATTATACTAGGAAGTATCTAGTTTGCTATATTTTAAAAAGCCAACAAGAACAATGCATGTACTTACTCAGGAGAAAAATCTAGGTACTACATAGACTGGAGATTGAAAGTTTCGTATCTTGCTGAAATGGCAAAGATTTCGGCTTATCTGAAGAACCATTCAAATGAACAATTTTTATCAATATGGAGAAGATGGATTGTTTATATTCAAAAGAAGCATAGAGTGGTAGAATACAACTTAGGTTTTTAGATTTTTCTTATTTTGTTTATTCTTTCTATCTTTTCATGTAGATTAAGATACTTTGTGGAGTTAGAGATATTAGTATTTGTTTCCTTATATATGAATATTATCCTGGGATTAAGTTTGGGAAGTCCGGGGGGGGGGGGGGTTTACATGTTACTGTGTTTATTACGCCTATGATTGTTTTTTTTATGATGGAAAATAATAAAATTTCTTTGAAAAAAAAAAAAATCTAGGTACTACAGGAATCTTGACTTACAACCATAATTGCCCCAGGATTAAGAGTTGTAAATCATTGCAGCCATTAAACGGGTCCCCATGTGACTGGATCTGGTTTTACATTTTTTACAGTGGCTGCTAAGCAAATGCTATAGTTGTTAAATGAGTGCCACAGTCATTAAGCGAGTCCATTATACCCAATGGATGTTTTTCGCCAGAAGCCAGAAATAAATGCCAGAAACAGGCAAAAAAACAGGTGCCCATGACAAGTGTCAAAATGCAATGATATGATTGCAAGGAGAGGGGGCTGGTTCAGCCATTGTAACTTTGAAATGAAGTTGTAAGTACTTTTTGATGGGGGGGATCCATTGTAACAGTCACTAAGCAACCAGTCGTAAGTTGAGGATAGTCTATATACCAGTGACGGCAAACCTTTTAGAGACCAAGTGCCCAAAAACCACCCCTGCCCTCACTCCACTCCCTGCCTTGCTGCAGGGCCACCCACCGCCTCCACGGCCTGCCACAGCAGATCACCCAGACGGCCCAGCAGCACCATGGCAGCCACGCCCTCCGCCCGCGCCCCGCAACATCATCTGCATGTGACAGGGCACGAGGGCGGAATCTTGTCCCCGCTGCCCGGCTGCCATGTTCTTGGCTGCGCTGCTCCGTGCAGGCCACACCCGGGGGCAACTCTCCTCCGGGGGGGGCTGCTGGTGAGGAGGGGGCCGTTATGGGGAGGCGGGGCTGGGGTGACAGCGCGCGTGCCCACAGAGAGGGCTCTGAGTGCCCCCTCTGACACGTGTGCCATAGGTTTGCCACCACTGCTATATGCCGTAGAGGTTCAGTTGTTGGACTGAAATCAAAGAGATTTGAATTCAAGTCCTCAGTCATGGAGGTCATTGGTGATTTAAACATCTCACAGGGTTGCTGTGGCATAAAAATAACAATGTCACACAGGTCCTTTGGGCTTGTCTAGGAAAGGTGAGATTTAAATATGTTTATGTTGCTGTAATTTCAATATAAACAACTCTTTTCAAAAAGTCTTTTCCAATTACATCCATGATCTAATCCAATTATTCTACGTACCTTTCCACAATATAGGTTGAATTGAAAGAATACATTAAAATACAGGACCGCATCTATGAACTTGATAGCAAAGCAGAAAATGGCCTTAAGTTTTCACGTCTCTTGGATTTCAAGGTAATGCAGCTAAATATGCCGACATTTCATTTTCAGTTTGCAACTTCACTTTCAGCCGCGGCTTTTTCAAAACCATGTTCTAACAGCATGTCATTCGTTATTACTTAAAGCACCATAACAGTCTCTAAAACTGCGATTCCCAAAGTGTGCAGCATACCTTCCTTGAGATGCTGCAGAGTCCAGGAGATAAGTGAATAATCTTTTAATGGTACATTGTTTCAATAAATCCACTTTTCCCTAAATATTGCAAATAAGTAACGTGGCGGGATAAACACAGACAGTGGTTTTTTTATTCTTTATGTCTTCTTTATTGTACTCTATTTTAACTTCATTTTAGACTGTATTTTACTCCAATTTCATCTTAAGTCATATATTATTCTAGTTCCATTTTAAACTGTATTTTATCAAATTTTATTTTAAATTGCTTTTATTAGACTTTGGTAATGATTTGTTATTGGAACTTTGCACTTTGATATGGCCCAAGGGCTAATCAATAAAGATGATGATTATTATTATTATTATTATTATTATTATTATTATTATTATTATTATTATTATTATTATTATTATTATTATTATTATTATTAAAAATAAAGTTTTGTGTGGTTTTCATTGTCCATTTGTGTTTTTAGGAGAGGTGTGTATATTAAGATTAGATTAAAGCAGTATTTCCCAAGCTTAACAGTTTTAAGATGTTTGGACTTCAATTCCCAGAATTCATTGCTGGCTGAGGTATTCTGGAAACTGAAGCCCACACATCTGAAAATGGCTAAGATTGGAAAACGCTACACTCAAGGAAGGTATCATGGCAAAAGGTTTAGGAACACCTACTTTAAATATCATAAGTAAACAAAATATACAGGTAGTCCTCAACTTACGACAGTTCATTTAGTGACCATTCGAAGTTACAACAGCACTGAAAAAAGTGACCTAAGGCCAGTTTTCACACTTACGGCAGTTGCAGCATCCCCATGGTCACAAGATTTACATCTGGACGCTTGACAACTGACTCACATTTGTGACAGTTGGAATGTCCCGGGATCATGTGGTCCCTTTTTGCACCCTTCTGACAAACAAAGTCAATGGGGAAACCAGATTCACTTAACAACCGTGTTACTAATTTAAGAATTGCAGTTATTTACTTAACAAAAGTAGTGGGGAAAGTTGTGAAATGGGGCAAAACTCACTTAACAAATGTCTCACTTAGCAACAGAAATGTTGGGCTCGATTGTGGTTGTAAGTTGAGGACTACCTGTACTTAATTTTCAAATTATTTCTTCATTTTTTGTACATAATTGTGATGCTTTGCTGATCTTGATTCTACTGCCTTAAGTGGGAGGTGTAAAACCCTGGAGAATCAAATGCTTATTTTGTATTTCTTTTTAGAAATTATTTAATAGATTAAGCACGTTGAAAGCAAGTATTTAAAACTCAGGCATCAAGTAGGGATTGTTTGATAATTTGCTTTCTTTATATCCAATTAAAGTTATAGATAGAAGCTTAGCACAAGTACTTTGACAAATTGAGATTACAACAATTTGCTTCCATTTAGAAATAACACTGCTTAATATTTTAGTATTCTAGTAATCTTCAGAAGGTAGATCCTGATCATCTTATTGCATTGGTCACAGAGGTTATTCCCAAGCACTCCTGCCTTGTCTTCTGTCCTACTAAAAAAAACTGTGAAAACGTAGCAGAAATGATATGCAAACACATAAACAGGTATGTCTCCTATGTGCACTTTAATTGCTAAATCAGTGTTTCTCAACCCTGGCCAGTTTAAGCTATGTGTACTTCAGTTCCCAGAATTCCTCAGTCAGCCATGCTGATGGAGGAATTCTGGAAGTTGAAGTCCACAGAGCTTAAAGCAGCCAAGGTTGAGAAATGTTATGCTAAATGAACATTTTCATGGATCTCCTGGTGTCAGTGTTAATTTGATGCAGACATATTGCATTTGCATCCTAAGCAAATGTAAAGCATTGCAGGATATGTTCATATGTCAAAGAATAACAGTAATTGGCATATAGCAGGGGTCCCCAAACTTGGCAACTTTTAAGGCTTGTGGACTTCAACTCCCAGAATTCCCTCAGCCAGTCTGACAGGCTGGGGGAATTCTGGGAGTTGAAGTCCACAAGTCTTAATGTTGCCAAGTTTGGAGACCCCTGGTGTATAGGATTGGAAAATATCTAATACTCTGGAGAACTACTGCCATTGTAATCTGTACTGATCCAAAGAACTCAATAGTATAGCTATAATGTCATGTGGGAAAGACCTTGGGAGACAGGACCAAGAGATGCTGCCTAGGGAATGGTCAGAGAAGAGACAGCTTAGCCTGCAGCAGGATAATGGATAGGACAACAGGCTCAGAAGAGACCCTCTTTAGTTTCTCTGGCTGTAAAGGAGACAGTAGGAGAATTATACCGTCAGACCTGCAGTGTAGCTTTACATCCTAAAGTAGAATTAGCTTATCTGGACAAGTTTCCTGTCTGATCTCTTCTCATTTTCTTAGTATTCCCTTATTGATCTAATTCACAGCCTAGAAAATCAGGTCAAGTGCTTTCTTGTACCATGTTCCATCTTTTCTTTCCTTTCAGCAAATCATGGTTGGCTTTGGAAATTAGAATGTTTTACAATTATCCAAGTCGCAAGACTGGTTCTTACCACTCTTTCCAAAAAGTGGAATGGGCAAACCAAAGGCAAACTTGTATTTGCCAGGCTGGGAAACGGGTTTGTCAGCCGGAAATGGTTACCTCCAGCCAGATATATTTGAAGCTGGGTTCAAATTCCAGATGTGGAAGGGAGACCATATTCCACGACGCACTTCTAGTCTTTTAATTATAAGCTAATCAGTGGAGAAGAATACAAATAGTCCTTGACTTATGACAGAAATGGAGCCTATGGTCATAAGTCATTGCAGTCGTTACGCAGCTCACCCTATGACTGGACCCGACTTTAGAACATTTTTTGCAGTGGCTGCAGTATGGTAGACATCACACAAATACTGCAGTAATTAAGTGAATCCATTATACCCAATTTCTGGCCCTTTTTTTGCCAGAAATTAAGACTAAACCCCAGAAACTGCCCAAAAGCGTCGAAAATATGGCCATAAAAGTGAAAATACAGTCATTTGAGCCCAGGGGGAATACGGCCATAGTAACTTCAAGATCAGGATGTAAGTTTTGGGGAGGTCTGTTATAACTTTGGTCGCTGAGCGACCAGTCCCTGAGTCAAAAACTACCTGTACATTTGAACTTTTGGTGCGTCTTGTAACGGATCGTTCCTTGTTCATCCTAGATGAAAACAACTAGTTACGTTTGGAACAAAAGTGTCTTGTGAACAAAGTCCCAAGAAGTCTGAGGATACCCATTGTCTAATTCTACCCTTTCTTTGCTAGAGCGCTTAAAAAGATCAAGGAGAAAGAAAAATACAATCTTCTGAAAGAGTTAAGAAGCATCTGCAGTGGAAAACTCTGTCCAGTTTTGAAGCGAACAATTCCATTTGGAATTGCTTACCACCACAGCGGTCTCACCAGCGATGAGCGGAAATGTATAGAAGCAGCTTATTCCTCAGGCTTCCTCTGTCTGCTAACCTGTACATCTACGCTTGCTGCGGGAGTCAACCTGCCCGCTCGAAGGTTATAGCACTGGCTTTTTTTTTTTATGTTCCTCATGTGAAATAGGGTAAACATTCTAACATTTCTTTCGCGGAATCCCCCAAAAGCCATCTTGTGGCATGATCCAAGAACCGAGTGATGCCGTCGTGATTCCGATAGATGAGACCAATTAAAAGAACTTCAAGACAAGGAATTCGTCCTTAAAGAACGTTTTTATTTGGCTACAAAATAACGGCACGTACAAAGGTGAACCCAAGACTAAATTCCCCTCCCCCTGGTTACAAAGTTGCAAAGTTAACAATTCCCACCCGAATTAGATGTCATAAATCACATTCTCCAATTGTTAGTAAACGTGGGCACTCCTCCCAGATCTCCAGCCCAGCCAAAATGTAATCAGCAATGACCTTGGTTCCCATACCTAAGAATTGTTATGGCTAACTTAAAACTACACTTCCCCCCCTCCTCCCCTTCTAAATAAGTGGCAACCAAAAACAAAGTGAAAATAGCTTCAATTCGTTGCAGCATTGACAGATGCTCCTTAAGTATCCAAGTTGGCTCTCTCAAACAGCAGCTACGGAAATTCTAATAATTCGTTGTTTCTCTTTTTAGAAAAAGAAAAACCATCCATGCCCATTAAAAACCAGGGACTGGACCCAAATCTTTCCCTAAATGCAATTTTTTTGTTTCCAGAATATTATTTAGAAACAGATGTTCAGACACACGAATCCCACCCGAAGTCTGAAAGAATATGATCTAGAAATAGTATTCGGTAATGTAGGGGTGCCAGTTCCCATTCCTTACTAGCACTGATGATGTTAATTAGTTTGGATAATGAAACATCTGCAAAAAAACCACAAAAAAACAATAACCAAGCTCAGAGAACACCAAAGACCCCTCACTGGAGATAATATGTAAGTAGCTCCCAACACCTGTTGATAGCCTTATCCTCCATAAATACAGTTAATTCCCCAATTGGGCCACTGAAATGATGACATTTTGGATCAGCGACTTCCATACTTGAACTGTGTCTGCTTTTATTCCAGAACAAATGCATATCAAAGTAAAGTCTTTGGTTTGATTTCAATGTACTTATGGCTTAGGACAGTGATGGTGAACCTTTTAGAGACCGAGTGCCCAAACTGCAACCGAAAACCCACTTATGCATCGTCGGGTGCCGGGTGGGCGTGGCCCATTGGGTGGGCGTGGCTGCAGTGGTAACGGCAGACTGGGTGGGACTAAAAAGTTCAATCAATCAATTCCAACTTTGCAAGATCTTTTTTTCCCGCAAGAAGTTGAAATTGACTTATTGATTGAACCTTTTTTTTTTTTTTACACGGCAGCGGAGGCCTAAAGCAAAAAGGTTTTATAAAACCCAGCTGAAGGCCTAGGACTAGGGCGACGATACGAGTGCCCACAGAGAGGGCTCTGAGTGCCGCCTCTGGCATCCGTGCCATAGGTTCGCCACCACTGGCTTAGGATATCCCATTTTATTCCATTATTAGCAATAATTCCATTGTGACCATTACTCCTTTATGCACTTTAAGCATTCCAAAAGAAGCTTCTGCTTTCTACTGAGATTATTATTATTTTGGTTTTAGTGTTCGTAATTTTAAATATTGTATGATTCACCTGTTACCTTAAAAGTATTTTCAAGTGCTTTTTCTTAGTGAGGAAAGAAAAAAAAATTGGATGTAAGTGAGAAGTAATTAAAGTCCCTGTTCATGGATTCCGCAGGGTTATTTTAAGAGCGCCGTACGTTGCTACAGATTTCTTGAAGAAGAACCAGTATAAACAGATGATTGGCCGAGCTGGTCGTGCTGGCATTGATAAGGCTGGTGAAAGTATTTTGATTGTGCAAGAGAAAGACAAAGACCTGGTAACTTAAATGGAAAGAATTGCAACGTTTGATATTTCTAAGCCGTCAGGATTAATTGATTAAATAATACTGTAGTGGGTGGAGTTCAAATATATAAAGCCTTGGTCTGAAGTAATTTATTTCTTCTTCTAGTAAATACATTTAAAGATAGCTTCATAATTATGTCACTGCCAAGAAATATCATAACCTACTGTAAGTTTACAAATCTGTGCTTTAGTGGAAAGTGAGCCCTCTTTTCATCAATTTAGGACAGGATTGTGGCATTTAAAGACAATTGTGTTTATTGATTAATTAAAACAGTGAAGTTGTCCTGCATCACAAAAACTTAAAAGCAGTTTTATTTTCTATTTCCCTCACATCTTCTTGAATAGATTGGTATTACAATGCAGTCACTGTAAAGCAAGTGATAATGCATAGTTATATATTTTGAGAAAAGATACTGCAAATACATAGGGCTACCTCTGAGAAGCTAATGTTCCTAATGATAGATGACTTGAGCAAGGCATTAATTGCAGGAAATGATACAGTTAAAATAATGCTCAGGATGCAATGGAGCAGGCATTTCATAATGTTACAAGCACATGTCAGAATCATAACTTTTTTTTCACAGTTATTATGTTTCATTAATTCATGCTGTAAATTTGTTTTTAAGGTTCAAAATTTAATCACCAGTCCCCTAGAAAGCTGCTACAGCACTCTTCTGCTGGAATCCAACAAGGGCATCCGAAGTTTGCTTTTATCGGTGGTTGGTTTAAAGGTTGGTAATTCTAAAACGTTAATTTTCAGCTATAATACTTTAGTGAGAGAAGTTCGGAAGTAAGAACTTAGAAGTAATCGCAATCGCAATAGCACACTTAAATACCACTTTACAACCCTCTCCAAGCGATTTACAGAGTCAACCTATTGCCCTCAACAATCTGGGTCCTCATTTTACCGATCTCGGAAGGATAGAAGGCTGAATCAACCTTGAGCTGGTCAGGATCGAACTGCTGGCTATGGACAGAGTTTGCCTACAATACTGCATTCTAACCACTGCGCCACCATAACTTCTTTTACTCTCTCAAGTAAAATAACTAATGATAAAATTCTCTTTTGTCTTGGCTGTAAATTGTTTTTCTCCCAAACTAAGCCTTTAGTTAGTCTTAGTTTAATATTTGGCCTTTGGTATTCTATTACAGGTAGCAAACAATCCTGAGGAAATTTACCAGTTCATGGGTGCAACTTTACTTAGTATACAGCCACAGCTCCTGCCTCAGAAGAGCCTGCAGGACGTAACAATGGAAGCCTTACAATGGCTGAAACAAAATGGGCTGCTAAAAGAGAAAGAAAATTCTGACAGCGAAAAGAACTGTCAGAATAATCTAGGGATCACTCAGTTGGGCCGAGCTACCTACAAAGGTAAAAGATGCTTGTGTTATTGGTTAAAGGGCAGGTAAGCAGAATCAGCCTTACCAATAAGCAGAATGAAACTGTCCCCTCTAGAAGCATCCACGGGAAGGTCACCGGGTAGAGGGAAAATGACAGGGCTGTGCAAGCTCCACCCCTTTCGTGCATGTATTAGAAAAGGTGGAGTTTACCGCAAGACTCCGGCTTTCGTTGTTTTAGGACAGTGATGGCGAACCTTTTAGAGACCGAGTGCCCAAAAACTGGCCCTGCCCCTGCTCCACCCCCCTGCCGCCCCTGCTCTGCCCCCCCCCCGCCTGCCCACAGGACCACTCATCCGCCTCCAGGGCCCGCCTCAGATCGCCCAGGCAGCCCAGCAGCGCTATGGCGGCCACACCCTCTGCCCGCGCCCTGCAGCATCAACTGCATGATGGGGTGTGAGGGCAGAGACTTGTCTACACTGCCTGGCTGCCATGTCCTTGGCTGCGCTGCTCCGTGTGGGCCACACTCGAGGGCGAGTCTCCTTCAGGGGGGCTGCTGGAGAGGAGAGTGTCGGGGGGGAGGCAAGGCTGGGGCAATGGCACGTGTGCCCACAGAGAGGGTTCCAAGTGCCGCCTCTGGCACCCATGCTATAGGTTCGCCACCACTGTTTTAGGATCAGATCCTGTGGATGCCTCTACTCACCTCAGGATGCTGATTGCATGTAATCCTTAATTTTACTCCTATCTTAGGTTCAATTGAATTGGCACACTGTGACACTCTCTACACAGATTTGAAGAAAGGACTTGAGGGGCTAATACTTGAAAGCTACCTTCATCTGATCTATCTGATAACACCATATGATATGATTCCTCAGTGTAGCCCAAATTGGATGGTCTATTTTAAACAGGTAAGATGCTTCCAAAAAAAAGCATCATTGGGTATCTTCTCCCTAGGCCTAGAATAATAGCAAGGAGTATTCCTAACAACACCAGGATAATTAAAACTCTGTCTTCTGTAAATTTCATTGGGAAGAGACTTTTGCCTTTTTATAGCCTCTCTGTCTATACTAAAATTGTGTGTTTGGGCTCCTTGGCACTCCCATTACAGTATAAAATGAAATGGATTGAGTTATGCATATGCTGCTGACAAAAGGCTAAATAAAGAAATTTAAATCATGCACACACAGGATTTAGATCTTTTGAGAGTTCATTTGCTGGTGGGAGATACTTATTTTTTATCTTATAAGTTAAAGATTAAGAGCTTTTATGCAGAGATTCAGATTTTACCAAATACATCATAAGTGTTTTATTTTTAGGAAAAAGGTATGTGAAGTATTAACTATATTTATGTATATATTCATGTATTTAATACAGGTATATACATTTCTATATAATCACATCTCAAAGCAGTGTATAAATTAAAAAACTGAAATAACAATGATTAAAATGACAAAATACTGACCTGAAACCCACGTTCATTGTAACAATGAAGTTAAAGTAAGGAGACCAAAATCCCAGATCATTTATTCAAGGAGAGGACAAAATGGCCTGGGGTGGGGGTGGGGGAAGAACTCCTGACAGTGAGAACAATTAACCAGTGGAACAACCTGCCTCCAGAAGCGGTGAATGCTCCAACACTGGAAGTTTTTAAGAAGAGACTGGACAGCCATTTGTCCGAAATGGTATAGGGTTTCCTGCCTGAGCAGGGGGTTGGACTAGATGACCTTCAAGGTCCCTTCCAACTTTACTATTATTATTATTATTATTATAACTAGGTCTTTGTTATGAACCTGGGAAGAGAGATAGGCAACTCAGAGTGCTATCACAGGATTTTCACGTGCCCGGCTTTTACAAGTGACCACTTTCAGTAGCTTCCCCTATTGTGTGGAAATTCCTCTTAGCAGAAATTCAGTTTGCTTCACCCCTCTTGAACTTCAGGAAAAAGATAAAAGACTTTTTGTTCCATCTAGTTTGGGAAGTGGGTACATTACAGTTGAAGGTGAAGTTTGCTGGTACAGATTTCTAAGTTCTGGTTTCTTTTTTATTTCGTAATTTTTTAATACATTTTTGGGTATTATGTAATGTTGATATTGTTAGCCACCCGTAGCCTTCCCAGCAGGATGCACATATCTTTGCATTCACCTCTATTTGAAGCTGAATAAATACAACAGCTCAGTTTTAATATGTAAAACAGGATAGATTGTGTCCTATAGTTACAATTTGCTTAATTTTAGATCTGAGCTGATTATAATTTGTTTGTTTTAGTTCAATCAACTAAGTCTAATAGAACAACAGGTAACCAGCACTGTTGGAGTGCCGGAGAGCTTTATTACCAAAAAGGCATCTGGACAAGCCATCAAGAATGTAAGAGAAAGATTTGTTTATTAAACAGCGTATCTGAATGGCCACCAGAAAAATACACTTGTGATTATTTATTCCAGTGATTACAAGTTTCTCTTCCTTCTCTTCTCCACTTTCTCTTGCCAATTTAAGCTCCTTGTTAAAGTAGCAACATTAAATAAGAGGATTTTGAAAATATCGTAAGAATTACTGAAATACTGGAGAATCCCATGTTGAAATCTCCATGCTGATGTACCATAAAACACATCGGGTGACACTCATTGGGGATTGTCATTATTGCTCTAGCTGCAGTTGGTAGAAACTGTAGGAAAAAAAACCAGATATATTGCCTTCCTTGAAGAAAAGGTGAAATTCAATTGTAATCTTACGTATGCATGATCTAAGAATAGTAAGAATACAAAAAGAATTAAATTAATTCATCTGATCTTGTCTATATTGAATGAAGTAGCAAGAAAATGTTTTTAACTGTAATCTGGGAATCAGCAGAAAAATTCTACAGTTATATTTTTGTTATTTATATTGCAAATTCTATTTTGGAAAAGTGTGTTACTATATCCCTTAGATACATGCTTCATTGTTCCTACATTGTGAAATATACTGCAATTATTTAAGGAACTTAAAGAAATAGAAGCTTGCAAAGATTTTATGTTGTTTTCAGTTTCTTTATGAACTTGGTATCTTCTTAGGAACTGGATGGTAATACTGTTAATAGACTTTACCTGTCCCTCATCCTTCATTCCTTGTTAAGAGAGACCAACATATGGGATGTGTCAGAAAAATTTAATATACCACGAGGATTTGTTCAAACTCTTCTCAATTCAGCGGCTTCATTCTCCTCCTCAGTTTTGCATTTTTGTGAGGTAATGTACAACAGCTAAATAATTCACTGCAAGGCAAAAACATCATTCATTACTTTTCTTTGAAAAAAAGTTATAATTTCTTTGGTAATCACCTCATACAATTTCCTTTCATAAATTTAGATCCAATTTTCAGTGCATTACTTTGCTCCCATGCTGAACGGTTTTCAAACTGAAAATAAATAACACTCATAGATATCTTGTAATTTTGTATATCTCATTTTGAAACCAATCCCTCTGATATGTATTTTATTTGTTTATTTATTTATGAGAAATTATATGGCCGCCTACTCACTCTCAGTGACTCCAAGTGGTTTACAAAAATAAAATTACCGCTTAGCTAAATACAGCATCATATTGACATTTTCCAACAGCTGGTTTTTCTTTTGTCATCATATCATAACGTGAAAGATTCTGTGTTATCACAATGTTGCATCCCAATATGTAGGGCCCAGTTTAATCCTTTTATCTACTGCAGACATTAATTTAGATACAACAAATGGATCCCACTAAGACAGGGGTAGGAAACCTTGGCTCTTTTATGACTCGTGGACTTCAACTCCCAGAATTCCTGAGCCAGCATGGCTCAGCTTGGAAACCTCTCCCTTTCCCCTCAGCATGGCTGGCTCAGGAATTCTGGGAGTTGAAGTCCACACGTCATAAAAGAGCCAAGGTTGCCTAACCCTGGGCTAAGAGAAGAAACTGAGCAAGGTTTGATTGATAGGTTTCTAAGTAAAACTGACCAACAGGAATGTTGCTAATGTGTTTTCTTACAGGAGCTGGATGAATTTTGGGTTTATAAAGCTCTCCTGCCAGAACTTACCAAGAGATTAAGCTATTGTGTTAAAGCAGAACTTATTCCTCTTATGGAGGTAGCTGGAGTTTTAGAGGTTAGTACAGTCTAATCTGACAAAAAAGGACGTTCAGTACATCTGAATGCAGTTTATATGAATTATTTTTTTAAACAAATAGGTTAACTAGGAGGGTTTTTAGATATCCAAGCAGAATGTAAGGATGACTTCTAAAATTTCTTCTGGTTGCTCACTACTTCCTGAAAGTTTCCAGTTGGAGGTAGAGGACAGGCACATTGGCAGGTGTCTGTAATGTAAATCACACACCTGAATTCAAAAGGACTTTGATTGGGTGCTTCTGGTCCAGCTTTTGCCTTGTTGGCTATTGGACACCAAGTTCTGCTTTGCAGATGAGGGTGAAGATAGACACTAGCAGCTATTTATTTTTCAGCTGAGAGCCATTGTGGGTTTGTTGTGGCTGGAGAATTTTGGGCATTGAAGTCCACAGATTTTAAGGTTGCCAAGGTTGGACATCTCTGATGTAACGTCTTGATCCATTGTTAGTTCTCTCCTTTAATTAGCTTCTTCACTGCTTCACAGGCTCGAGCCAAGCAACTCTACAACTTGGGCTATAAAAGTTTAGCTCACTTGGCCAATGCAGATCCAGAACTTCTAGTCAAGAATGTTGTGCATATGTCCAGAACTCAGGCCAGGAAAATAGTTTCATCTGCAAAGGTAAGGAAAGAAGCAGTGAGACACTCGTCTGGACCAACTGCTGTTTAAGTGGGAAGAGGTCTTATATAGTCCTCGTCAGAAATCAGGGTCAGAATAATCTCCATCTTTGGCAAGTAGCCATTCTGTCTCTGTTTTATCTAAGTCTTATGAATTGAGGCAGTTGGGGTGAAGTCTAGTGCTGTTTTTGAGAAATACATATTGATATCTGTGATGAACTGTGTATGTTGCTAAAAAAAAAAAAGACAATCCATTACGACAGGGGTCTTCAAACTTGGCCCTTTTATAACTCGTGGACTTCAACTCCCAGAATTCCTCAGCCAGCATGCCTAGCTGAGGAATTCTGGGAGTTGGAAGTCCATAAGTCATAAAAGGGCCAAGTTTGTAGACTCCTGCATTATGAGGATCAATAGTTGGGATCTTATCTGTTGCTAGGATCTCTGCAGGACTGCAGAGCACTTGCGCTGATTGTGGATGAGGTATAAATACATGTCAGATTTTGCCTTTGTTGCATGTAAAGCAAATGCGTTGGGGTTGTTGTTTTTTTAACCTAAATGCAGGCATTGATCTGGGAGAAAATAAAATTGGAGGCCTCATATATGTTCAGTCTAGTCTCTGCTCCAGTGAACCTTCTAAGAAATGAACACTGTATATGTCACCCTGGGAGCTATTTGGTCTCAGTTACACAATAAATACACTACAGCAGGGGTGTCAAACTCAATTTCATTGAGGGCCACATCACATCAGCATTGCGGTTGCCCTCGGGGGGTGTGTGGCCAGGGTGGGTGTGGCCTATTGGGTGGGCATGGCCAGCTTTACATCTTCGCGTCAAGGGGGCCTGTGGGGGCCTGGGCAGGAGTGGGACAGATCTGAGGGTCTCTGGCAGAAGGGGGTGGGACCAGGGCAAGTGCCAAGGCATGGTCCACTGGAGGAGCCTCACCATTCCTCTCAGGCCATGTGGGGGGGGGCTGGATGTTGGTGCAGTCTGCCCGGAGCCCTGGGCAGCAGAGGTCAAATGCCCACCCTGGCCCTCAAGCACCCGCGGCACCAAGCCCAGCCCCACTTTCCCAAGGGTGATGCTGCTGTGCTTGCTCTCCTTAGCCAGGTTACCCATAATGGGTATGAGGGCAAAGTCAGAGGGAGGCCCATTCCCTCTTCATGGGAGGAGACCCGGCTTTGTATCCAAAGCTTCCTTAGCAATAGGATGGGAGACCCCAGGATAGGCCAGGAGGAGGGGGCAAGGGGATGGTGAAAGGGCAGCAGGACTGGACTAAGGCAGGATTTCCCTCAGACCCTCCCTCTTCTTCTTTCCTTCTTTCCTTTCTTCCTAAGTACAGAGTGGTTGGAAAATATTTGAGATGAGGGAGGTAGAAAAACAGGCAAGAAACGCAGCCAGGGCCAAGGCAGCAGGGGCCGTTCCCTCACTGTTTCCAGGATGGCTTCGCGGTACCACATGAAACCACTTCGCGGGCCGCATCCGGCCCCCAGGTCTTGTGTTTGACATGTCTGCACTACAGTAAAAAGTAGTGACTTTTTTGTCTTTGAATGCAGATGCTCCTTGCTGAGAAGACTGAGGCTTTACAAGAAGAAGTTGAAGAATTATTGAGAATACCCACGGATGTTCCATGAGGCTTTTTATTTTTCCATAAATCCAAGATTCAATAGATTTATCTCCCGCCTTGATCACTGCTTGTATTTACTGTATATATTCATGTAATAAAATTTATACATCAGAAAATATTATTTTAAAAATCATCAGCATGTTTTGTTTTGTACATAATGAAATTACGTGGTTTTTTTTGCAATCTGCTTTGTATTTTACCTTTCAGACACATTGCCATTAATGACATGATTTTACATTTCATTTCAGTGTCACTATTTTTATTAGATTACTTCATGACTCCTAACACAATCATGTTGGAAAATTAATTTTATTCTTTTATTTGAAATCTATTTTGGAGATTATCGGGAGAATTATAATGGCATAATTGACATAACTTGTCTATATTTGCTAAATTATATATCAAATATGCTTTCAAATAGTTTAGTCTATCTGGGTAATTAACTCCCTGGCTATCTTCACACTATGTATTAGTACCACAAATTAGCCAACCATATTTTAGTATAGAGTACCTTGCAAATCACGTCTAATAGCTAATTCATGGTTTGATATACTGTGCCAATTAATTGGTTCTGAATATTTTTAAAAAATAAAACCTACCCCAGACAAGACTGAAAAATATATAAACAAAATGTACAGATATTAAAAGGTAGCCACTACAAGCACAGACAAAATCACAGACCCACAGAGGCTCTACACAACACATAAACTATAATTATTCATCACAGTGGCTCAAGAAAAGCCACCCACACAGTGGCTAAATATGTTGGTCTGGTTCACATACAAAGATATCTGACTTTGTTTTCTTAGGGAAGGTGCATTTGTACAAAATATATTCAAAATGAAAGCACTGAAAGATCACTGTGGAGAAATCTCTGAAACATTTAAGGAGGCAATTGTAAATATTGGCAAGGCTGTGTAATAGCTAGATAATTTTTTTTATCTATTAAGGAAATACCTGGGGTATAAGCATGGCAATACGATCACAGATACAAATGCTAATAGAGAAAACCTATTTCTACTTATCCTGCCTGCACTTGGGCCATCCAAAATGGACTATGTGCACTTATACATGGACAAACAAAATACTCTCCCACTTCTCCCTAGCCCCAGATTCTGAAAATCATCTCTCCTTCCATGATCCTCTTTTATTAGCCCAAACTTTTCTTTCTCTGAAGCATCTATCTTGTAAATCTGTTTTAAACTGTAGTCCTGGTGGCTAAAATGTTGGACATCCCTGCTCCTATCCCACTTCCTACTATTTGCAACCTCATCCTTCCTCAAAACTTTCAGAGAAAACCCAATGTATTATTTCAAGTATATTGTGTATGGGAGTTACTGAGAAATGTGTTCATGTTCTTGCAAATTCTGAAACTTGTGCTTGAGTTCTATACCTGGGTGGTTGTGACATTTCCTGTGTAGTCATTGTAGTGAGATTCCCACACTGGGAAAAAGAACAAAATTGTATTTAAAGATCATTAGATTTCACAGCCACCTCAATTCTGTTTTGGATGGCCACTAGGATTACACCTCTGCAATTAGTTAATAGTTGGAAAACCTGTTGTAATTAGTTTGTGACTAGGTTCTTTAGGTGGTGTCACAGTTCTGCAACACTGAGGACTGAGTAAAACCATCAGAGTAGCTTCCTTCAGCAATATTTACACTACAATCATAGCTTTATCAAACCATCTTGTCCATTTGCATAACCCAGCACCGCATATCACATTTTAGTTTAGCCAGATGCAATCTTTAAGTAAAACATATATTCATCTGTCCTAAAATACAAAAACTCTAGACTAGGTGCTGAGTAGTACAAATTGGGCACCAATACAAAGGCTGGGTTCATCCATCATTCAAAGGAACTGCTTAACAATGGTTAGTTGAACAAACCACAATGACTTTCATGCCATGCTAAGCCAAAATATAAGAAGACACATGACTTAGCCCAGTTTTTCCAACTTGATAACTTCCAGATATGTAAAGCAACTCAGAATTCTTAGCAATAGCCATGCAATCTAAAGAATTGTGGGAGTTGTAGTCCACAGATCTGGAAATTGTTGTGAAACAGGTTTGTTTCTGAAGCCAGTAAGGAACACATTTGTTTTCTCCCAAACTGCTTAGTGAATTGAAAGTTGAATGGGACTCCAATCCTATCACGCTGCTTAGAAATTAGGCAGAATTTAATTTCTGATAAAGATGCGTAAAACTATCATCTGTTGTTCCCTAAATGTGTTGGAAGTGCATCTCCCACAATTTCCAGCTAAAATAGTCAAATCCTGGGAATTCTGCAAGGTGCACTCCCAATATGCTGTATCTGAAAGATATCAAACTGGGGACATTGTGCTGACACAGAGTCCACCAGGTTCTCCTGATTAGAGAAGATTAGGAAGGCTACAAACAGGTGATTCACATTGTATGTTCAGGCATCTTCAAACGTTTCTGATGACTACTTGCTTGGAATCTTTATAATACATTTATGGACATTCATAAATGATTGTTGTGATAGGCAGGCCAATCACAAAGTCCCAACACCACGAAAGCACTGGAGAAAAAACCTATCCATTTAACTTCTAAGGACTCTTCAACAACAAGACAATCTTTATTCCATAGTTTCTCCAAATTGGTCTCAATTGTTATCATCGGTGCTGGCTGAAAAGTACAGGTTTCCAGGCTAAAACATAAAAGTTGAGAAAATAAAACATAATTTTCATTCCTGAAAACTTGCCCACTAATTCATTCCACATCCTTTTTTCTGCTTTCTCAAAATATATTGTTTCTCCCAGCTAATTCCCCTTTCGGTTAACAACCAAAGAAAATGGCTGTTGCAATTAATTCACACAGATGACAAGAAGCCACAATGATATCACGGGTATCATTACACCACTGTACAGACACAAATTATGTTGTGGCATCACTCATGTCCGGATGCCCAAGGAGTCACGTAAATACAAAATGGCAGTTATTTATTTGCACATGCCCCAAAACAGGGTGCAAATTTCTTACTTCCAAAATGTGCAAAATTAGCAAAATGCCACTTCTTCCATCTTTTTTGTTTTTAAGGTCATGTCCGTGTACCACTAAATCAGGGGTAGGCAACCTTGGCTCTTTTATGACTCGTGGACTTCAACTCCCAGAATTCCTGAGCCAGCCATGCTGAGGGGAAAGGGAGAGGTTTCCAAGCTGAACCATGCTGGCTCAGGAATTCTGGGAGTTGAAGTCCACGAGTCATAAAAGAGCCAAGGTTGCCTACCCCTGCACTAAATGAAAGTCTTCTGGGCTCGGAAGGGTTGGAGTCAGGCCATGGCTGTAAAAACATCTTGGTCAGGGATGTCAAATTTGCAATGTCACATGACATGTCACAAGGTATCGCAACTTTTTTTCCATTGCCAGCAATGGGGTGGGCGCGGTTTCGCCATGACGCATCCGGCCCATGGGCCGGCAGTTTGACACCCCTGCTCTTGGTTGTGGTCACTTCAAAAGGCTAAACCAGGATTTTATTTATAGAGAAAAATAAGTTGTAGCTCAGGGTTGAAATGAGCAGTGATGTTGTTACCTAGTTTGGGTAATGAAAGGTCTGGAAGGAAACACCCCAGTTCAGAAAACACTAGGGACCCCTCAGGCCTTGGTTCATTAGTTAGTTATTAAATTTATTCATTCACTTAATATTCATTTTTAGATTTATTTTATTGAATTTATGTTAATAAATGTATATGTTGCCCATCTGACTGTGAAGCAACTCTGGGCGGTTCACAACATGGTAAAAGCCACAATATAAAACATGAAAAATATTAAAATGAACCAAATTGATTTTAGATTCGGTCAGTACAGGCAGTCCTCGACTTACGACCACAATTGAGCCCAACCTTTCTGTTGCTAAGTGAGACAGTTGTTAAGTGAATTTTGCCCCAATCTTTATTGCCATATTTGTTAAGTGAATTACTGCAGTTGTTAAGTTAGTCACCCGGTTGTTAAGTGAATCTGTCTTCCCCATTGACTTTGCTTATCAGAAGATCGCAAAAGGGGGATCACATGACCCTGGGACACTGCAGCCGTCATAAGTATGAATCAGTTGCCAAGCATCCAAATTTTGTCCAGGCGATCATGGAGATGCTGCAATGGCCGCAAGTGTGAAAAACGGTCACTTTTCTTTCAGTGCCGTTGTAACGTTGAACAGTCACTAAACGAACTGTTGTAAGTCGAGGACTACCTGTACTTCCTTGGAGGCAAAACCAAGGCCAGGGGAGCACCAGATGAGAGGGAAGCCACCAGACCTTGCAGAGATATGCAAGGGCAAACTACAATCCTGTGGCTACCGAGAAAGCGCCACCCGCGCCCTTCCTGATGCCACTTTTTCTCTAGTGAGCCTTCCCACAAATCTTCTCCCGGGACGGCTTTTGCGCCAAACCCTGGCTTGTTTTAACCATGGTTAGCAGCCGAGCAAGGAGGGACGAGCAGCACACCTCAAGCAGGGCGTGAGAGCCGCAGCTGGGCGTGGGCAGGAGTCTCCTTCCGCGGCGCCTCGCCTCGCCTCACGCCGGGCGTCCTTCACTCGCGGGAGGCCGAGCTCCACAGCCGGTGGGGGGAACCGCGCGCTCGCCTGCCTCTCTCCGGCGGCCGAGCAGAGAAGAGCCGAGCCAAGCCGGCGCCAAGCGGAGCGCTTTCCTCGCCGCCGCCTCCTGCCGGGATGCCGCCGCCGCCGCTGCTGTTCCTGTTGCTGCCGCTGTTGCACCTTTGCGGCTGGCGGGTGCGGGACGCGGCGGGCTCGTGGCCAGCGGAGCCGGGGCGAAGAAGGGAGGACGAGGCGGCGCTGAGCTTCCAGCTGAGCCGCGAGCCGCTGCGGAAAGTCAGCCCGTTTTTCCTCTCCGTCACCCTCGACTCCAACCTCATCACCGACCCCAAGTACATCACCTTCCTCGGGTAGGTAAGACGGCGCCCGCGGGCGACACGGGGAACTCTGACCGACGGGGACGAACCCCCCCCTTCCCCACCACCACCACCACCACCACCAGTAGCCCTCTCGGTTTGAAAAGCTGCACCTGACCCCCGGCTGCCTGCGGCGTCGGAGCCCTAAGCGTTTTTTTTAATGCTTGGGAAGCCCCAACCGAGCTAAGGAGTTTGGCGGCCGCGTTTGAACGACCCGAGCCGGAGAAATGGAACAGAAGGACAAAGAGTTGGAAGGGACCTTGGAGGTCATCTAGTCCAACCCCCTGCTCAGGCAGGAAACCCTAAACCGTTTCAGGCAAATGGCTGTCCAGTCCCTTCTTAAAAACTTCCAGTGGATGGATAAGATGGATAGATTATATCCAGAATAAATATGGGACTAAAAAGTTCCATTTGGTTTTTGAGTAAATTTTAGAGTATTATTGTTGTTAATAGTTTATAATAGTTTATTTTTTCTGTTATTTTTAATTATTACTATGATATTATTTGTTCGTTATTGTGTTTAACTTTAATTTACTTAAATTGATCTAAAAAGGGAGTTAAAGTGCTTTATAGATTTGGTAATTTAATAGTTGGTTAATGTTATTTAGATTATGATTATTATTTGTTAACCCTGTGAATAGCTCTGGGAAGTGGGGGGAGGGGGGGTTGGGGTGGGGGGGGGAAATATTGTAATCTTTATAAAACTTTTAATTAAAAAAAACTTCCAGTGTTGGAGCATTCGCCGCTTCTGGAGGCAGGTTGTTCCACTGGTTAATTGTTTTTGGTGTTTTTTTTAAAAAAATATATTTTATTGGATTTTTTAAGGATGGGGAGGGAATAGAATGGGTAGGGGTATAACACAGAGTAAAAAAACAAGGGTTAAACCAAAGGTAGGGATAGATACAATACTGGGGTTACCCCCCAACAATAAATCAACGCTTTAGCAAGCAGACTGTCATCCGGATATACATATTGAATGTCAATATAATGCTAAACAGTTAATATAGTTAACTGTTAATATAGTTAATATAATGCTAAACAGCTATGTTATAATAGATTTATCATTAATCCTAAAAATGAGAAATTAACCAATACATATCATTCATTCTAAAAATAACCATGATTAATAACTTAATTGTTCTCCCTGTCAGGAAGTTTCTCCTTAGTTCTAGGTTGCTTCTCTCTTGGGTTAGTTTCCATCCTTTACTTCTTGTCCTGCCTTCAGGTGCTTTGGAGAATAGCTTGACCCCCTCTTCTTTGTGGCAGCCCCTGAGATATTGGAACACTGCTATCATGTATCCCCTAATCTGTCTCTTCATTAAACTTGACATACCCAATTCCAGCAACTGTTCTTTATATGTTTTAGCCTCGAATCCCCTAATAATCTTGGCCCTTTGTTAAATAGGAGAGCAGGTTTGGTGACAATGAAAGTTATGAACGAGTGTACTGCTGGGTGCAGGCAGGGTAGATCTGGGACCTTATTTGAACCCACTGAGAGTAGAGCAGAGCCCATTCAAATATTTTGAGCTGCATGGGTTAGTTAAGCCGTGCTCAACCTGACCTACCTTACAGGGTTGTTGTAAAACATGAGATGGCCATCCATGTAACCTAAATTCCTTGGGAGAGAGGCAGTGGTGGGATTCAGTCGGTTCGCACCAGTTCGGCAGAACCGTTAGCTAATTTTTTGTTGCCCAGGCCCAGAATAGACTTCCAGAAATGGCATCCACACAGAGAACCAGTTGTTCACATATTTGAATCCCACCACTGGAGAGGGGTAGCTATCAGAGATGAAAAATCCAAACTTTTAAGGGTCTTCTTTGCTATTCATCTATCCATTGGGCTCAGACAACATGCACTTGGTACTGTATAAGTTTGCTGGTTACTTTGTAGCTTGTGAGGGTTAGCAAACCTTAAGTACATCATTGTCTGAACTTCTGGGTGTTGTGCAAACCCATTTTATGACCTTTCTTGCCACAGTTGTTAAGTGAATCACGGCAGCTGTTAATTTAGTAACACGGTTCTAAAGTGGCTTCCCCATTGACTTTGCTTGTCAGAAGGCCACAAAAGGTGATTACATGACCCCGGGACACTGCAACCGTCATAAATATGGTTTGCCAAGCATCTGAATTTTGATCGTGTGACCATGGGGACGTTGCAATGGTCATGAAAGTGGTCATGTGACTTTTTTCCAGTGCTATTGTAACTTTGAAAGGTCACTAAATTAATGGTATATAAGTCAAGGACAACATGTACTCCTGATTCAGGTTTGCTGTACTGGTGTAGGAGGAATGAGTTGACAGCGTACCTTATAATTATCTCCCTAGAACAATTGTCCGCTTAATTATCTGCCTGGCTAAAGAACTTGCTTTGCCATTTCCTGTAGTTCCTTCCTGGTGTTTTGGCTGGTGAGATAGACGCCGGGGAATCCTGCTGTCCCCATCTCTGCCCACTGTTTTAGTTCCCTGACAACACTCTTAAGTGAATCCAGCAAGAAATGTATCGTTGGATGATATGCAATTCTTCTCAATAGGACTGCATATTCTGAGACCGATTTATCTCTGGCACAGTTGCATGGCGCAATTTTGGCTTGATTATCCTTTCTTTCCAGTTCTTTACAGTGCAATCCTTGCAGTTTATTTCAGAGAGATAGTGCTGGAATATCTGTTTTTTCAGGTATGTGATAAACTGCATTTCAGCCTTTTTTTGCAAGAGAATTGCAACATCCCCATTAAGGCTTGTGAGAACAGAAAAGCTGAATGAGAATCAAATCAATAAACCGCCTTGTAACCCCCATTTTATTTCTTAACCTCACATTGCTAGCCTTGCCTTTGTCCCTGAACAAATGCTCTGTGCAAATTTATCCTGTGGGCGCTATTCTGCAAAACACCTGCAACATTAAATGCAAAAAAAAAAAATTTGAGTGAAGAAGATAAGGTATCGTTAGGCCAAAGCCTTTAATCCCACCTACCTCAGAGTTGTTTCACGAATACCTGCAATTACATTAAGCTTCTTTGGATTGGAACATTCTGTTTATTCACTTATCTCTATTGGCACCTGAAGTGGTTGAGTCTGAATGCAAAAGTTCCTGAGTTCCTGATCTGGTTTAGGAGATAAAGTTACCCAATTAGTCTCCTACACGTAATAGGGAGAAAAGGGATAGTTCTTCCGTTAGTTCACTTGGGGTATGAACTTTAAGGCCCTTGTTCACCTTTGACATGGCTTGGTCTAATCCAGAGGTCTTCAAACTTGGCCCTTTTATGGCTTGTGGACTTCAACTCCCAGAATTCCTCAGACAGGCGGAGTTGAAGTCCACAAGTCATAAAAGGGCCAAGTTTGAAGACCCCTGATCTACCAGATACATTCGCACAATCCAATAAACATAGTTAAATTCAACCTTGGAAAGGATACTTATACCAAGTTATGTGAGCCTAATCCTTGTCCTAGTTTACGATTCAGTCCATTATAGAAACTCAAGCAGTGGGTTAATTTAGTAAGGTTGTGAGAAACCTTACTAAATTAACCCACTGCCTGGGTTTCTACAATGGACTGTTATCATCTTGTATTTGAACAGTGAGAGTTAAGAATTACATACAGAAAATGGGGTGGTAGAGGCATTATGTTTGCTAGAGTAAAGCCTAGAAAATAATAGAGGATATTTTCACCTGTATATATCTCTTCTGCCTAACATACAAAGATGCAGGAATGTAATATGTATGAATTAGGGAAACTCCCTGGCAGCAGTCTGAGAAGAAACACCGGTCCTCCAGTAGATCACCATAAGCTGGCATAGAGTTCTTTAAATACATTTCCATTTTGAAATGTAGGCATGTTTCAGAAGCCACAGATAGTTCTTCCGTAGTTGAGAGACAGAATCTACAGTGGTGAATTTATGGAATCTGCCAGGACCTAGGTAGTTCTCTGGCCTATGGGCTTATCTGAATGAATGTACACAATTGACAAGGATCCCACTCAAATGATACCATTTTTTATTTGGGCGTAATGGGCAGAGCAAAGAGACTCAGTGTGCCAAACAGCTAAATATTAGAGGCTGGGATGATGTGTATATCAAATCCATCATTTCTAAAACTTAGCATCCATATGAGCATGGCCAGATGTAACTGCAGGTTACAGAGAGAAGCTGGATCATAGTGAAGACCAGAAATGTTATAAGTTGCAATTAGATATATTAAAGATGGTTAACAAGTAGATTGTAAAAAATGTTAATACCACTTTACAATGCCTTGGTAAGGCCACACTTGGAATACTGCATCCAGTTTTGGTCACCACGATGTAAAAAAGATATTGAGACTCTAGAAAGAGTACAGAGAAGAGCAACAAAGATGATTAGGGGACTGGAGGCTAAAACTTACAAGGAACGGTTGTGGAATTGGGTATGTCTAGTTTAATGAAGAGAAGGACGAGGGGGGGACAAGATAGCAATGTTCCAATATCTCAGGGGTTGCCACAAAGAAGAGAGAGTCAAGCTATTCTCCAAAGCACCTGAAGGCAGGACAAGAAGCAATGGATGGAAACGAATCAAGGAGAGAAGCAACCTAGAACTAAGGAGAAACTTCCTGACAGTTAGAACAATTAACCGGTGGAACAACCTGCCTCCAGAAGCTGTGAATGCTCCAACACTGGAAGTTTTTAAGAAGAGACTGGACAGCCATTTGTCTGAAATGGTATAGGATTTCCTGCCTGAGCAGGACTAGATGACCTCCAAGGTCCCTTCCAACATCATCATCATCATCATCATCATCATCATCATCATCATCATCATCATCATCATTATTATTATTATTATTATTATTATTATTATTATTATTATTATTATTATTATAATTATAATATCTGTATACTTTTGGGGTAGCTTAATATGCTGAACATCCTTTGTGACTTTGCTCAGCAGTCTGTCTACCCTCTTAGAATAGTTAATTATGTAAACAGGGCGTTTACATCAAGGGTCCCCAACCCCCAGGTCACGGCCCACTATTTGGCCACAGAAGTGGGGGGGAGTGCGTGTGCACACATGTGTTTCCCCACACATGAATAACGGGCGAGTGTGTGTTGTGTTCTCCATTTGCATCAGCGGTGGGTGCCCACTGCTCACATAGAACCATCCCCTCTACCCCACCCCCTGCCAGTCCGCAAACTGGAAAGGTTGGGGAACTCTGATTTACAGAAGGGGTCCCCAATCCCCGGTCTGTGAACTGGTACCGGGCCGCGGCATGCCAGCAACCGGTCCGCACAAACAAGCAAAGACCCATCCGTGGGATGCAGGCAGCACCCAAAACCACGCACTCTCCGGTCTGTGGAAAAATCTCTCTCCACGGAACTGGTCTCTGGTGCCCAAAAGTTTGGGGACCTCTGGTTTACAGTACAGATCTTTCCATACAAGCATCCTGCATAGCTTGTACTTTGCCATTGTTTGCAGCCACATTTTACTTCAAGTGGAATTTATGGGCACTTTCCAAGTTTAGCTTCATGTAAAGCCTTTTACATCAGTGAAGATGGAATTCTTTGAACACGCGTATATATTTGTAATCCATGTTTATATTGTTTTGCTTAATGACATTGGACCTTGAAGTTCAAGAGGAAAGGAAAAGTAGAACAGGAAACGAACTTATTGTTTTCAAGTGCCTTATCAAATATCTGAGGCTTTATTAGCTCTAATAAGGAAGTTGTCGTCAAGCAACATGGTTTTTAACTGACGAAACCCTTTCTTTTCAACTGAGATATAATGCAGTTTATTTTTGATCTGATTTGTGAATAGACCATCGTGTGCTCTGAAAATCAGGCTATGTCACAAACTGAAGAATTTTGGTTTATAGCCTCTGCAAATTTGATCATCATCAAGCAAATTCAGTCTTTCTCCAGGTCTGAAGTGATAGAAACCAGGGACATTAGTTTAAATCACAATATGGTGTTAATCTAAGCTCTAGGTTCCTAGAATTTTTCAAGATGAAAAGTCTGAACTTGAAAAGAACACTTTCTTTTGCCTTGGGCACCCAGATTTTTAATCCTGAATCAGTTTTCAGTTACAGGTAGTCCTTGACTTATGTCTATAATCGAGACTGGAATTTTCATCACTAAGTGGTGCAGTTGTTAAGTAGTCGTCATGTGTCTGGACCCAATTTGATGACTATCTTTACTGCAGCCATTAAGTGAAACATACAGTCTTTAAATAAATCCAGTTCCCCAATTGATGTTGCTTGTTGAAAACTGATTAGGAAGCTTGCAGTTTGCAATCACATGATCTCAGGACACTGCAATCGGTCATAAATGCGAGCTGGTTGCCAAGCAACAAATCGCGATCAATTGACTGGCTGCAACAGACGTAATTTTGAGGACAGGTCGTAAATCACTTTTTTGTAAACCGAGAACTGCCTATCACTGTGTGGCAGCTGATTCTGACAAACTTAAAAGCAAGTAGGGTGGTACCAGATTAGTCTGTTATAGGTAGCCCTTGACGTATGACCATAACTGAGCCCAAACTTTCTTCTGCTAAGTGAGACAGTTGTTAAGTGAATTTTGCCCCATTTTACGACCTTTCTTGCCACAGTGGCTAAGTGAATCACTGCAGTTGTTAAGTTAGTAACATATTGTTAAGTGAATCTGGCTTCCCCATTGACTTTGCTTGTCAGAAGGTCGCAAAAAGTGTCCACATGACCCTGGACATAAATATGAGTCACTTACTAAGCATTCGATTATGTGACTGTGCAATGGTCATAAATAATGATGATGATGATGATGATGATGATGATGATGATGATGATGATGATGATGATGTTGGAAGGGACCTTGGAGGTCATCTAGTCCAACCCCCTGCTCAGGCAGGAAACTCTATACCATTTCAGACAAATGGCTGTCCAGTCTCTTCTTAAAAACTTCCAGTGTTGGAGCATTCACCACTTCTGGAGGCAGGTTGTTCCACTGGTTAATTGTTCTAACTGTCAGGAAGTTTCTCCTTAGCTCTAGGTTGCTTCTCTCCTTGATTCGTTTCCATCCGTTGCTTCTTGTCCTGCCTTCAGGCGCTTTGGAGAATAGCTTGACTCCCTCTTCTTTGTGGCAGCCCCTGAGATATTGGAACTCTGCTATCATGTCCCCCCTCGTCCTTCTCTTCATTAAACTAGACATACCCAATTCCAGCAACCGTTCCTTATATGTTTTAGCCTCCAGACCTCTAATCATCTTTGTGTGAAAAAAGATCATACACATCACTTTTTTCAGTGCTGTTGTAACTTGGAACCATCACTAAATTAATTGTTGTAGGACTACTCGTCCTGTAAGTAGGCAGGTGAAACTAACCATCCTTTCAAAAAGACAGGTTTCTATCCCAATAGACCCCAAAAGTGGGAGAAGAAAGGCCCAAAAATGTGATCCTTGATTTTAATATAAATAGGCTTCGCATCTGATAGTTAGCAAAATCCCTGGCATTCTTTCCTAATAGCTTCCTTCCTTTTACCTTACATTAAATCTACCTCTCAAAGGTCTGCATTAAAGATCTGCAGCCTACAGCGCCAGTCATATCCTGCCAGGAGAAGGCTTAACACTCTGCACAAGCTCAGTGGCATTCTTTGATCTTGGTTCATCACTGCCCGGGCGGCACTTCCCAGGAAGCGCATCACTTAAAACGGACAGCTTCAAAAGCCAAAGACGTGCATAGAATTTGCACATGCTTAGTTTGAGAAACGTATGCACATGCATATGCAATTCTATAATTTAAATAAAAATGTTATTCTTCTCAGCATCAGGAGAGAAATTGTGCCTTCATAAATGGTGGTTCTGCTTAGTTTGTTGCCCTTTCTAATTATGGATGGGCACATTGCAGTCCCTGGATTTCTTATTGTGTATTCCTTTCTTGAAACCAGCGATGAATTAAACACCTCCTTCAAACAGAAGATGTTTTAAAACAAGAGAGCTGTCTATTTTTTGTAACCCTTCAAACTGAGAACCACCTTCTATAAAATGGCAATTGTCCAGCATTATTCATAAAGAGCAATCAGTGTGAATCAAAATACTGGTAGCCCCCTACTTACAACCGTTTGTTTAGTGACCGTTCGAAATTACAATGGCACTGAAAAAAAGTATGACCATTTTTCACGTGACTGTTGCAGCATCCCCATGGTCATGTGATCAAAATTAGGATGCTTGGCAACCGGCATGTATTCATGATGGTTGCAGTATCCCAGGGTCATGTGATTACCTTATGCAACCTTCTGACAAGCAAAGTCAATGGGGAAGCCAGATTCACTTAACAGCCATGTTACTAACTTAACAAGTGCAGTGATTCACTTAGCAACTGTGGCAAGAAAGGTCATAAAATGGAGCAAAACTCACACAACAACCGTCTTGCTTAGCAACAGAAATTTTGGAATCAGTTTTGCTCATAAGTCAAGTGCCACCTGTATACAGGGTAGACTGAATCCTTAAATCCTCATTCAGATGAACCTGTAAATACAGGAAGTCTCTACTCTAGCTATCCTTCAATTAAAAGCAAGCTTTTCCTGGCACTCTATCATTAGGGTGATCTGAAGCTCCTTCTTAAAAGTAGCGTACTATATACTTTGCGGCTCCAGAATGACTCAACCGTGTCAGCTCTTAAGAATCTGGTCTGCTTCATAGAGCAGGAGACTTGACAGGTAAATCACTTGTCATCATGTGATTTGCAAATTGCCGGTGTCCTTGAGTTTTAAAAAATCTTGATTTAAGAGTTTGACGGGTTGTGTGCCTGAAAGCTTACACAAGGAGCTGGAAGCTGCATTAGTTAGTCCAGCTTTTTGCAAGTTGGGGATTAAAATCAAGTTGGGAATAGGTTGAATTGACAATGAAGTCAATTACTTCTGGTAAGAGTTTAAAAAATATTTAGAGCTCAGGGTCCTTGGAACTTAACCACAGGTGACACTGTGTCATTTTTAGAAGAAACTGTATTAGAGTTTTTTTTAACCCATTTCCTCATTTGGGGGTAAAAGTTATATTAATGTTTGATAATTGCTTAGGCCAGTGAGATGTACTGTACTAAATTTGTTCATTGCCATAGGAAATTATATTGCCACTATTCAAAGGTTTGCAGACACAACTTGTTGTTGTTGTTAGTTGCGAAGTCGTGTCCGACCCATCGCGACCCCATGGACAATGTTCCTCCAGGCCTTCCTGTCCTCTACCATCTTCTGGAGTCCATTTAAGCTCACGCCTTACTGCTTCAGTGACTCCATCCAGCCACCTCATTCTCTGCCGTCCCCTTCTTCTATTGCCCTCAATCTTTCCCAGCATTAGGCTCTTCTCCAGTGAGTCCTTCCTTCTCATTAGACACAACTTAGGAGTGTGATTTCTTTTCCAATTCCTTGGGGGGCTATACATATGTTGCCTACCCTTGAATTAAATTAATTCCAATCAGTTAAAGCCACTGTTTGGGTTTGCACAGTATGATAAACTGCAAATTGCTTTTTGTTTATTGAATAGATCAGGGGTAGGCAACCTTGGCTCTTTTATGACTCGTGGACTTCAACTCCCAGAATTCCTGAGCCGGCTGGCTCAGGAATTCTGGGAGTTGAAGTCCACGAGTCATAAAAGAGCCAAGGTTGCCTACCCCTGGAATAGATCATACCTGACATGGGTCACTCGATACACCAATGCATAAAATCGTAGTTTATAAGTCAAAACACTGTTTTTTGCAGAACACGCTAAGCCAAAACCTATCAAAGGGGTGTGCAAGATGTGATGTTTGGGTGAAAAAAACATGGCCTTACATCTTTGGCATTAATTTCCCCAGTTCTACAAAACTCCGTACATTGGCAAGAGGCTTGTCTCCTGCCTTTTTGAGATTTGGGGGCACCAAAGGAGACTTCCTGATCTTCGATCCTCAACAGAAGCCAACACCTGAAGAGAAGATTTTTCAGGATTTCCTTAGAAAACAAGGTAGGATACTATTCAGCTTATGAACGGCAACATATTGCTTCCTATTCTCCACACCTACACCGTCCATGAAGACCAAAAAGAATGTTTACAGTGGGCATTTAAATCACATCCTGACAACCCAGCGTCATCCACATGGGCCGTATGAAACTTTAGCCTTTGCTATGTATATGGAGATTCTCAGTCATCCAGCTCATGGTGGTTCCGAAGGTGCTTTTCAAAAGGCACAACTGGACTTTCTTAGTTTTTTCCTTGAAGACATTTCACTTCTCATCCAACAAGCTTCTTCAATTCTGGTTGAATGGTGGGTAATTCAGGTGGCCTTGAGGACTTTCAGAGAGCTAACCCCCAGCCTTCAGAGTGCTAAGGTCCAGATAACTTCAAAGAATTCAGGTAGGCCTCAATTTACAACCTCAATTGAGCCCAAAATTTCTGTCCCTAAGCAAAACGTTTGTTAAATATTTTACAACTTTTCTTGCCACGGTTCTTAAGGGAATCACTGAAGTTGTTAAGTTAGTAACATGGTTGTTAAGTGTGAATCTGGCTTCCCCATTGGCTTTGCTTGCCAGAAGGTCGCAGAAGGGGATCACGTGACCTTGGTGTACAGCAGCGGTCATAAATGTGAGTCAGTTGCCAAGCGTCTAAATTTTGATCACGTGACCCTGGGGATGCTGCAACGGTTGTAAGTGTGAAAAACGGACATCAGCCCCCTTTTTTCGATGCTGTTGTAACTTTGAAGAATCACCAAATGAACTGATGTAAGTCGAGGACTACCTGTATAAATCCTTCCATTCCCACCATTGAGCCAGAACCGAAGAAGCTTCTTGGATGAGAAGGGAAATGTCTTCAAGGGGGAAAAAAAACCACAAGAAAGTCTAGTTACCTTTTGAAAAGCATCTTTAGATTCAGGCTGTGCTCTCTATGGCCTACAGAGCTCCAGAAACATGGCCGTTTTCCATGATTGTTCTTTGTTAAAAATTTGTTCAATTATTTATTAAGTTTACTGGGAGGAAGGAAGTTCTTTTTTAAAAGTGCCCCTAAGGATAACACAACAACAGGACACAAAGTCTCATTTGTCACTGCCTCCGTGGTGTCTCCTGCTCCTCAAGATAGGGCAGTAGAGCTTCTTAGCTGATAGCTAGTTAGCTTTGTCTCGGGATCTCTCTCCTTTGAATTTCTATACCACGGAGGCCGTCCGTTAGCAGTCCTTTTTGGTCTTCTGCCGTGAGCTGTAACCATTGGGTAGAGCCTGCTCAGCAGTTTTTACAGTATGTTCGTTTAAAAATAGTTGTGTTTGCGTTGCCTAGAATGAATAGGAGGAACCTAGTTCCTGAATTGGGAGAGAAAATATTTAACTTTTGCAAAGTGGCTTTTTTGCAGAAAACCCTCAGTACAAAGCACCAAGTACTTCAGGCAAAGTGAAAAGTATTTATTGAGGGGCGCAAGGATACAGACACAAATGATACATATATACTAACTTATGCATCAGAGACAAATTCCTTGTGTGTCCAATCACACTTGGCCAATAAAGAATTCTATTCTATTCTATTCTATTCTATTCTATTCTATTCTATTCTATTCTATTCTATTCTATTCCATTCCATTCCATTCCATTCCATTCCATTCCATGTTCTATATTCTATTCTATGTTCTATATTCTATTCTATTCTATTCTATTCTGTTTTATATTCTATTCTATTATGTTCTATATTCTATTCTATTATGTTCTATGTTCTATTCTATGTTCTATATATTCTATTCTATATTCCTATTCTATATTCCTATTCTATTCCATTCCATTCCATTCCCATTCCCATTCCCATTCCATTCTATGTTCTATATTCTATTCTATGTTTTATATTCTATTCTATTCTATTTTGTTCTATATTCTATTCTGTTCTATGTTCTGTGTTCTATTCTATGTTCTATATTCTACTCTATTCTATATTCTATATTCTATATTCCTATTCTATTCTATTCTATTCTATTCTATTCTATTCTATTCTATTCTATTCTATTCTATTCCATTCCATTCCATTCCATTCCATTCCTAAATATGATGCATCGGAAAGCAACAATAAAAGTCATTGATTAGACATGTGAAAAGACTGGCACTCTTAACATACAATTAGCCTTTGACTTAGGACTGATCACTTAGTGACAATTCAAAGTTATGATGGACCTCCCCAGAGCTACTTATGATCCAGATTTGAAGTTCAGATGGCTGGCCTCCTGGTCATCTGATTACATTTGGGGTACTCAGCAACCAGCCCCATTGACAGCCATTTGTAGTGTCTTGTTGTCACATGATCACAATTTACCACTGTTTTTGCTGGAAACCAGTGTTTAATTCTAGTTTCCAACAAAAATGCCCCATAGCGAACAACGACCGCAGCTTTTGTTTAGCAGCTGTCACAAAAAAGGTCATAAAATTGGGTGCTGTCACATGATGACCTGCTTAACGACTGGCATGACGTACAACCAGAATTCCTGGCTCAATTATTTCTGGGAAACTCCAGGTGCCCATTTCTGCTTAAATGAGAGTCACTTGCCCAGCTGATGTTCCTTAAAGCAGCAGCATCCCCAATTCAACACTAATGATGAGATCTTCCTTCTCTGTCTCATGCTGTAGCAACGGTGGACTTCTGTGCATTCAGATCTGCCCCTTTGGACTTCATAGCACAATTGCAGTCTCAGTGGCTTTTTGAGCAGAAGCTCATCTTCCGGGAACAAGTAAAGAACAAGTATAAAAACATCACATTTACAGGTAAGGCCCATGCGACCATGAATACTATTAAGAAAACCTATTAGTGGATATTTAAGACCTCTGCTCATTATTAGAAAATAGGGGGTGCCACAAAAAAAGGGGGAATCACCCTATTCTCCAAGGCACCTGAAGGCAGAACAAGAAGCAACGGATGGAAATAAAGAGAGAAGCAACCTAGAACTAAGGAGAAATTTCCTGGCAGTTAGAACAATTAATCAGTGGAATGACTTGCCTCCAGAAGCTGTGAATGTTCCAACACTGGATGTTGTTAAAGAAGAGATTGTCTGAAACGGTATAGGGTCTCCTGCTTGAGCAGAGGGTTAGACTAGAAGACCTCCAAGGTCCTTTTGAATTCTGTTATTCTGATTTGGCAAATACAAGGGGCCAAAGACAACACTAAAGATCCTGCAGAACCCCAAGTCTTGCGGCCTCTTTATATCCTCACCCACTTCCTGAAGCTGTGGTGAAATTTCCCATGCTCATTGTATCATACTGAGTTCTGTGGCCAAAATTACGCTATATAAGAGAAATAGCTCGATAAAATGACATTCCCCAGGAAGACTGGAGAGAGCAAGATAGTTAAGAGCAAAGAAAGAGCCAGGATCAAGCCAAGGGCTATGTCGTCCAAACTTTTGTGACACATACTGGCCAACATAGCCATCTTTTAGTGTTGCTCAGTACTTAACAAGATAGTAAACAGCCATCAGTTTTGCCAGCTGCATATTGGCTGGTCTTCCACAAATTAGGGTAGTCCCCTTTTAAAACCATCTGAATTGGGGGAGTGATCATGGTTAAAGACGCTAAGCTTGTCAGCTGGAACGCTGGCAGCCCAGGTTCAAAACCCGAGCACTGCACAACAGGGTGAGCTCCCGTTATTTGCCCTATCTCCTGCCCATCTAGCAGTTTGAAAGCATGCAACTGTGAGTAGATAAATAGGTACCATTTCAGTGGGAAGGTAACAGCGTTCTGTGCACCTTTGGTGTGCAGGGGTAGGCAACCTTGGCTCTTTTATGACTCATGGACTTCAACTCCCAGAATTCCTGAGCCAGCTATGCTGAGGGGAAAGGGAGAGGTTTCCAAGCTGAGCCATGCTGGCTCAGGAATTCTGGGAGTTGAAGTCCACCAGTCATAAAAGAGCCAAGGTTGCCTACCTCTGGTGTATAGTCATGCTGGCCACATGACCACGGAAATATGTTGTACAATGTTGGCTCTCTCGGCTAGGAAACCGAGATCAGCACTGCCCCCTAGAGTTGTCCATGCCTGGACAAGGGAAACTTTGACCTTTACGACATCTGAGGACTGTGAAAGTCCCAGTCACAGTGTAATAATATGTGTGTTGTTTTGATCCTGGAGGAGTCTCCCTGGGTCTCCTAACAGGATTTAAATTTACAATAAAATGCTCTTTCACATAAATGGTCTTTGGAAATATTTTAGGATTAAAAAGACCAAACAGCATGTGTGTTTGTTTGTTTTTTAAAAAAAAATCACAGATTCTTCATAGAGAGAAAAATCATAAGTTCATTGTTGTGGTAGAATCCTTGTTAAAGAGCAGTAATTGATCATAGAGTGGATATTTCACAATACAGGCAAAACACAGCACCCCTTTCAAACTTCGGTAAAAATGAGGGGGGGGGAGAGAAACAAAAATGATCCTTATCTCATGAATTTTGATTGAATTGACTTAGATTTCCTATGCGCATATATATAACTTGAAATAATATGGCTTTTATTTTCATTCTCTTAACAGAAAGCACACTGGACATTTTATACAATTTTGCAAATTGCAGTAATTTACACCTGATCTTTGGCCTCAATGCCTTATTACGGACAGGCAGTTCCCGGTGGGATAGTTCAAATGCTCAGCAGATTTTGAATTATACTAATTCCCAGAATTACATCTTGTCTTGGGAACTTGGAAATGGTATGTGTATAGGTGAAGGATTTCATGAGGAAATGTATCGAAGTAGTCCTCGACTTACAACGATTCAATTAGTGGCCATTTAAAGTTACAACGGCACTGAAAAAAGTGACTTGTGATCTGTTTTCACTCTTACAACCATTGCGGCATCCCCATGGTCACGTGATCAAAATTCAGATGCTTGGCAACTGGCATGTACTTAAGATAGTTGCACTGTCTCAAGGTCATGTGATTACCATTTGTAACCTTCCCATCCGGCTTCTGACAATCAAAATGAAAGCAGGATTCACTTAACAACCACTTAATGATTCACTTAACAACAGTGGTTTACTTAACAGCTGTGGCAAAAAAAAATGAAATGGAGTGCAATTCATTTAGCCATGGAGTGCCTTGCTTAGCAATGGAAATTTTGGGGTCCATTTTAGTCGTAAATCGAGGACTACCTGTAATTGGTTTTGGGGAAGGGCGTTGAACATCTTTATGTTAAATTCAATACTGCCAAGCTATAAAAATATGTTGCGCATCAGCCCTTTTAACAACATGCGTGCATCCTTTTTTAAATAAATCTGGCAACAGCACATTACAGTTGCCACTTACCCAGACAAGAGCATTAAATATGCATTTGGGATCATTAGCAATCAAAATTAACATCATGAAAAACAAAAACATGAATTGGGTCGCCCAATAATCATATTTGTTAAAAGCCATACTTAAAGAAAACTAGAAATTGTATTTTTCATAGCAAGCTGGAATGTTCTGGGGAGGGAAAAAAAACCTTGTATATTTTTAATTCTAAATGTTCTTTGTGGTTTTCAAGCTTATCTATTAACTGGTTTTGACATTTTAGCTTCCGTATTTGGGGTTGATTATTACCGTTGTGTAAACAATTACAGAATTACTGTAAACTTCCTGGAGTTAGGATAGACATATGTACTTAAAGGTAGGCAAATGCCTTTTTTAATATTTTCTGCAGAACCTAACAGCTTTTTGCACAAGTCAGGAATAGAAGTCAACGGCCAACAACTCGGTCAAGATTTCGTACAACTCCGGCAGCTTCTGAACAATTACATCCACTACAAAAATGCCAAAATTTACGGTCCCGACTTAGGAAGATCAAGTCGGAAGCACAGTAAAATTTTGCTTAAAAGGTAAAATGAAAATATTTGGTGCTGTTGATGTGCTAAACAGCCAAACCAGATGCAATATTTAACCCATGGTTTGCTTAAGCTATTCTTTGCTGCTTTAATTCTGGTTTAGTTTCAAACTAAATCTTTTTTCTGGGGAGGGAATAACTTGGGAATGAAGATCACTTAGCTGGAGTGGAGTGGAGTAATTGCTTACTTTTACAATATATCTTGGTTGTTTTTAACAATCATTCACTGTTGTTATTTTGATGTGATATTTAGTGTTAATGAAGATAAACCAAATGAGGCAAGAGACAGTGAGAACGTAGTTAGTGCTCAAAATTTAGGACTCATAGGACTAAAAGAATTTGTGGATCAGAAATAAAATGAGCAAGCGTTACAAGAAAAACAATAATGCAGTTGACTTGGTGGCCGCATCTTTGCAGCTTTATTGGCAAGTGCATTGCCACTGAGTCTCTTTTTTCGTGACATTCTTGATCTCACAAACTAAGCAGGGCAGCCTATAATGAATACTTGAATTTTGCAGTGGAAGGGTCAGATGTGCTGACTGGAGATTTTAAGACTGCTGACAGATCTCTTAGGATTAGACACTGCAAATGAAAATGACTACTCAAAACTATTCTTGTTTTGCAGTTTTCTGAAGTCAGGAGGCAAAGTGCTTGACTCTGTCACGTGGCATCAGTAAGTAAGTTTATATCTAGCAATTCAAGCATGAGGGGTTTTTTGAGGGTAAATAGTATTGGGGAGACAGATTAGATTTAGCATTTAGAAATAGTATTTAGGCTTATATATCACCCCGTAGCACTTTATAGCATTCTCTGGGCAGTTTACAATGTTGAAGCATTATTTGCATATTGCCCCAACAATCTGGGTCCTCAGAAGAATGGAAGGCTGAGTCAATCTTGAGCCTGTCAGGATTGAACTCCAAGCTGTGGGCAGAGTTTGCCTGCAATAATGTACTTAACCACTGTGTCACCAGGGCTCCTGGTGGCACAGTGATTTAGATCTATAGCAGTGGTGGTGAACCTATGGCACGCGTGCCAGAGGCGGCACTCAGAGCCCTCTCTGTGGGCATGCGTGCTGTTGCCCCAGCCCCGCCTCCCCCATGACCCCCTCCTCACCAGCAGCCCCCCCCGGAGGAGAGTGACCCCCAGGCCCAGCCAGTGCAGCCAAGGACATGGCAGCCAGGCAGCAGGGACAAGACTTCCAGAAATCCAGGGGAGGCTTCCAAGGCCCAGAACGGACTTCTGGAAGTGGCGTCCACATACTTCCGGTGAGCCGTTCTGGGCCTGGGAGGCCTCCCCCTGGCCGCCAAGGCCCAGAACGGATTTCCGGAAGTGGCATCCACGCACGTCCGGCAGTCCATTCTGGGCCTTGCAAAAAAAAGGCTAGGGCTTCAGCCGGTTTGCCGAAGTCAACAAAAAATTAGCTACCAGTTCTGCTGAACCAGTGTGAACCGGCTAAATCCCATCACTATCTATATCCCACCTCTTCTCCAGGAGTTTAAGGTGATGTGCTTTAATATTCTCTCCTCCAGTTTTTCTTCACTATAATCTGAAGTAGATTGAAAGTTGTCTGGCTCAAAACACCCAGTGAACTTTTGTAGATGAGAACAGAGTTGACCTTGGCCTTGCTCTATCACAGTGTTTCTCAACCTTGACAATTTTAAGGCATGTCGACTTCAACTCCCAGAATTCCACAGCCAGCAATGCTGGCTGTGGAATTCTGGGAGTTGAAGTCCACATGCCTTAAAATTGTCAAGGTTGAGAAACACTGCTCTATCATCACCACCACTGCAGTACACTATGAATTACTAGCATATCTTCATGGTGGCGCAGTGGTGAGAATGCAGTATTGCAGGCAAACTGTCCCCACAGCCTGTAATTTGATCTTGACAGGGCTCAAGTTTGGTTCAGCCTTCCATCCTTCCGAAGTCGGTAAAATGAGGACCCAGTTTGTTGGGGCCAATATGCTGACTCTGTAAACCATTTAGAGTGCTGTAAAGCACTCTGGAGCAGTATATAAGTCTAAGTGTTAGTGCTATGCTGGGTGGGATTGTGAAAATTGTACTCCCGAACATCTAGAACAGGGGTGTCAAACTGCCGGCCCACGGGCCGGATGCATCATGCTGAAACCCCGCCCACCCCATTGCCAGCAACGGGAAAAAAGTTGTGATATGTTGCAACACGTCATGTGACTTGCGAGTTTGACACCCCCGATCTAGAAGAACGGAGATTTGGGGAAATCTACTTTGAGATTGTTACATTTCATTGCTTTCTCAAATCTCTAGCCTACACTAGATGTATCTGCATGTCTCCTGGAGGTAGTATACTTGAGTATAAATTAAGATGTGGATACTAGTTCTTGATTTGTTTCAGTTACTATATTGATGGACGAATTGCCACGAGACAGGATTTCCTGAATCCAGATATACTGGATAGCTTCAGGACCAATGCAGAGGAAGTGCTTGAGGTAAACAGCATCTACACAGCATCTACACAAGATTGTAAAGTGATGTGTAGAATATATCCCAATCAGACAAACATTTTATGGGGGAATAGACCAGGAAGTACTGTTTATCCCGATGCCCTCTGGGTATATAGGAGTCCTCAACTTAAAACTATTTGTTTAGTGACCAGCTACAATGCCACAGAAAAAAGTGACTTATGGCTGTTTTTCATACTTATGACCTTTGCAGCATCCCCATGGTCAGGTGATCAAAATTCAGATGCTTGCTTACTGGCATATTTTTATGATGGTTGCAGTTTCCCAAGATCATGTCATCACAAAAGTCATAGGGAAGCCATGTTTACTTAACAACCGTGTTACTAATTTAACAACTGCAATGATTCACAATAACTATGGCAAGAAAGGTTACAAAATAGGGCAAAATTCACTTAACAACTGTCTTGCTTAGCCACAGAAATTTTGGGCTCTTTTGTAGCCGTAAGTCGAGGACTACCTGTACTGAGGCTGCAGCTTCCAACAGCAGAACTGTCTAAGAATTCTTGAAGTTGTAGCTCCTCTGGTTCTAGAAGGTAAAAGGTTGAGAAAGACTATAATGTCTTAAGAGACCTGCACAATATATACATGATACATGAGTACATAGATGCAACCAGTTCACAATATATGAAATGATTGTAGGGGTGTTAATAAATTCCGTGTACTCCATCTGCTTTGTCTAATAAAAAACCAAAAACTTAGTTCATTCATTCTTTTCTATATCCGTAATTTTTGTTTTCAAAATATCCTTTAGATTGTGAATAGCACAGTACCAGACAAGAGTGTGTGGCTGGGAGAAACAAGTTCAGCTTTTGGAGGTGGAACGCCTAATTTGTCTAATGCGTATATTGCTGGTTTTATGTGAGTATTACACTGCTGGCTTAAAAGAACCAACTCTTGTGGCATAACAGAATCTCACCCAGATATATTGTTGGCCAATATAGTAGCAAGTCTTCATTGAACAGACAGAAAAATGTTGTTATGATCTCTGAGGAACATCAACATCTAATCATCTGGTAGTCTTCAGAAATATAGAGGACATGTATACTTACCATGATGACATGTGATCAAGTAGAGTATAATAGAATAGAGCTGGAAGGGACCTTTGAGGTCTTCTAGTCCAAGGTCAAATATAAAGAGGGCATTTCTGTAAAATGTCCTCCCCGTCAAAAAAACCAGCCTATTTCTATTAATCTGATGTCTTGGTGTACGATTACACACACAGTCTTTCAAGTTAACACAGGACATTGCTTCTCATTGCCATTTAGTTAAAGAGTTCTGTGAAACTCCATACAGTTAGGAAGGATGGGGTTGCTGATCATTCCGCAGACACAGTAAAGGTCAAATTAAGAGTCAACTCCTTGAAGAATGCAGAGTTGCCATGTTGTTCTGCTTCTCTCAACAGCTACCAGATCTGGGCTGGAAAAAATGCATAACCACTAAAGGGCAGGGAATAAAACTTTCTGCCTCTATTTGCTGCCATCCATTGATTGTTCAGAGTTTTGCAGCCCACACATTACTTATGTCTCTCAGATACCATTACAATATGATCAGTTACACCACTGTGATTAAACAATATCCAGAATAAACTCTTAATTCTGGTTAATGGTTCAAGAATACCAGCTTAACTATATTGTTCTAGTTTTTTGGGGAAGCTGTAGCTAGTACAGTCCCATATCCCTTTATCTGTTAAAATTGTTTGAATGAAAGGTTTGCTCTCTCTGTTGTTGTTGTTGTTGTTGTTGTTGTTGTGGGTCATCACACCGTCAGCCAGATGTTTAGACTGGACTTGGCATATTTTATCCATCTATCGAGTCCTTCCCAAGGACCTGGAATAGATGTTGAGGTTTTATGAGGTGTCAACGCAAGATTTAAGCTATTCCAAGTAAAGCTGCCTTTTGCTCTTGACTGATGGTGGGTTTGTCAATGCCAGTGGTGTTCAGGTAGTGCTTCAGTTGTTTTGGGATTGCATCTAGGGCACCTACTGATGATTCCTTATCATTATTATCTTGGCAGGTGGCTGGACAAGCTTGGACTGTCAGCCCAACTGGGCATTGATTTAGTGATGAGACAGGTTTTATATGGAGCAGGAAACTACCAACTGGTGGATGCCAACTTTGAACCTTTGCCAGTATGTACACAACTGCATGAGTAGTTGGACATTAGTAGACTATTTGTCAAAATAGTCCCGTATTCTTTATTTTGTAAATATTCAGTCTTTCAATTCACGCCCTTTGACCTTGGGATCTTTATGTGCAATGTATGCATTCAGCCATGAAGCCATTTCTGCTCCCCTTCAGATGGATTCAAATGTCTTTGAATTTAAGTTGTACTTACTGGCTTAAGCAAATACCACTTGAATCTCTTCATAGCACAACACTCCTGTTCCAAAGGAATGACTGCAGAAACAGGCCTCATCTAATGAAGAAGTAGTGATCCATGATTAACAGAATCAGTCTAGATATGGTGGTGGCACAGTGGTTAGAATGTAGTACTGCAGACTACTTCTGCTGACTGCCAGCAGTTGGCAGTTCGATTCTCACTGACTCAGGGTTGACTCAGCCATCCATCCTTTCGAGGTTGGTAAAATGAGAACCCATATTGTTGGGGGCAATATGCTGACTCTGTAAACCGCTTAGAGAGGGCTGTAAACCACTGTGAAGCGGTATATAAGTCTTAAGTGCTATTGCTATAGCTGAAACAGTCTAGAATCTAGATAGCTCAATTTATACAACACATTGACCCATGCTCTTAAAACAGCAGTACTACACATTTTAGCCTACTATATTGTAGAAGCCCACCTGGTATATTTGCAAACGTCAGACTACTTAGTGCTAAACAAATACAATGAGATGGAGAAGGCAGAAAGTGAGGGCTGGGATGAGTGGGAAAAAAATTTCTGCAGAAAAGTTGACATGCCAGGGAGATCTACTAACTCAACAGTAGATCACCTGCGTTACAGGCAAGTCTAGATTCAATCAAAACATCTTCAGTTAGGGTTTGGAGAGATTCTTTCCTGAAACCATAGTGAACTGTTGTAGCATTCCCCAATGTGGAATTCCAGAATTCCAGGCCTGGATGGATGAAGTTCCATCTAGAACGCAAATCTAGAAAGCCTGAAGTTGAGGAAGGTTTGCATAGACAATCCTAAAACAAAGTGAATATTTACAACAGTTACTACTAAATCTCATATGATTGTAGGGAAATACAGGACTGAAAAAAATGTACTGACTTGTGGTGTGACAGGCACTAGCTAGTAAGTATTTATGACATTCTCTCAACTAGTAGAAAACCTTTTCAGTGGTTGAGCATTTACAGCAAGGGTCCCCAACCGTGGCAACTTTAAGACCTGTGGACTTCAACTCCCAGAATTCCCCAGCCAGCATGGCTGGCTGGGGAATTCTGGGAGTTGAAGGCCACAAGTCTTAAAATTGCCAAGGTTGGGGACCCCTGATTTACAAGGTTGGTGTGATTTTTCCAGGGTTAAAGACTTTTCTTGCCAGAAATTGTCTGATCAGCTAAAAGCTGGGACAATGTACTATGTTGTGGACATCTTCTGGAGAGCTTCTGTGAATAGCAGGAACTCTCTCGTACACATGGCGATCCTCTTTATGTGGGGTTGGATGTGAGATAATGAATCTGGTCTCTGAACGATCCTCTTTTATTCCTTTGTATCTTCAATAGCTCTCAGGTTACCCTTTTAAGACAATAGCTCATCAAATAAGGTCTCACCTTTCTTTAACGTGTTCTTTTACGAGAGGTCATGATTCAACACTGCTTTTTCTTTCAACACCTTACAGGACTATTGGCTATCCCTGTTGTACAAGAAACTGGTAGGCCCCACAGTTCTGCATGTTGCCATAACAGGATTAGATCCAAAGAAACTTCGTGTGTATCTTCACTGCACAAATACGCAACAGTAAGCATTCAGTGCGGCAGCTAATCCGTGTTGAAGTGACCCGGGACTGCGGTTTTACCCAAGGTGGATATGTTCAGGGATAGCAGCCCCAGTCTATGTCCTAGCCCAGGGGTAGGCAACCTTGGCTCTTTTATGACTCGTGGACTTCAACTCTCAGAATTCCTAAGCCGGCCATGCTGAGGGGAAAGGGAGAGTTTCCAAGCTGAGCCATGCTGGCTCAGGAATTCTGGGAGTTGAAGTCCACAAGCCATAAAAGAGCCAAGGTTGCCTACCCCTGGCCTAGCCTGCTGTTCCCACTGAGGACAGTACACTGAGGCCCTGGAATATGCACAAATCAGAAGAGGGTAAAGGAGATCCAGAATGAAAGTGCCCCACTGAAGAACAAAAAGGAAAGCTCTGACTGCACAGATGCTTATCAGAGGCCTAACCATTTTGTTCTGTTCTGCACAAAGACATGGCCAATTGCTTTGTGTGGGTACACAAAGCAGACTTCACATTGTTTTCCTCCTCAGTTCCGGGTGAATGAAGGTTAAGCAGTTCTGCTCACTGGGCAGAGATTGGCCAGATCCCAACCCTGTTGCTTCCCAGTGTCACGTTTTCACTCGGTCCACCTGTGGTCTTTCGTTTAGGGGTGTGGGTTTGGGGTGGAAAATTGCTTTGCAAGGCAGGGAATCCCTTTCTGAGTATACCATTGAATTTCATGGGTGTCATTGCTGAAAGTCAGGGATGCGATGTCCTGAAACATTAAAAGCTGAAAGTGTGACAATTGTTGCATAACTGCTAACCAACCCGGAAAATCCTAGCCAACCCTACCCACTTTGCATCTTCACTCTGTCCACCCTGCACCCTTATCTCTTCCCCAAAGTAGTGTGCCCACTACCACCAAAAGGACACCCATCCCTGACATAGGAGATTTATTGATTGATTGTATCCCAGCAAAAAGTACTAATGTAAGAAAAGATCAGGCTGGGTGTTTCACACTATGCCTGCCAGGTTCCAATGAATGAATGCCAAATTATGCCCATTTCAAATTCTGGCTGCTTGCTTTGCTGCACAGAATTCCCTGGAAGCCACTGGGAACGACACCAATTTTACTATGGATATACTAAGGGAATATCCAGTCCCTGGTTCAACCCATCAATCACTTAGCTTCCCTTGAGACACAGCATAAATCCCTCCCCAGCATTCCTGTACTGCAGTGTTTCTCAGCCTTAGCAAAGTTAAGATGTGTAGACTTCAATTCCCAGAATGCTTCTGGGAATTCTGCAGAATGCATGCTGGCTGGGGGAATTTTGGGAATTGTAGTCCAAACATTTTAAAAGATTGCTAAGGTGAGAAACACCGCTATATTGCAATCTGCTTCCACCCTATGATCACTATTAACAACCTCTTGGTTTTGTCATTCCAGCCCGAAGTACAGAGAAGGTGACATCACTTTATTTGCCTTAAATCTCTACAACAGCCCCAAGCGCCTTTACGTACCAACTTACTTTTCCAAGAAGCAGATAGATGAGTATCTTTTGCTACCTTACAGAGAAGATGATTTACTTTCCCGGTGAGTAGTTCATCTTGCCACTTCATTCTAAACAGCGGTTTGGGGGGGGAATACATTGGGTTAAAAAAAATCTTAAAAAGTTTACAATCCTCCATGAAATCTATGTGTATCAAGATTTGAAAATAAGTAACACTGCAGTTCTGAATATAAGTCTAAGAAATACAAAGGGATTTATTCCTAGCAAATTGTATATACAGGTAGTCCTCAACTTATAACCATTCATTTAGTGAGCATTTGAAGTTCCAACAGCACAGAAAAAAGTGACTTATGACTGTTTTTCACACTTACGACCAATGATCACGTGATCAAAATTCAGGCACTTGGCAATGGGTATGTATTTATGAAAGTTACAATATCTTGGGGGCATGTAATCACAATTTGTAACCTTCCCAGCTGACATCCGACAAGCAAAGTCAATGGGAGAAGCCAGATTCACTTAACAACTGTATAATTTACTTAACAACTATAGCAAAAAGGTTGTAAAATGAGGCAAAACGTACTGGAAATTTTGGGCTTCATTCTTGTCATAAGTCAAGGACTATCTTACAGTGTTTTTCTAAAAGAAAGATTAATTTATTCCCTAAACAATTTAAAATGAGCTAGCTTTGTTTCATTAAGCAATCAGTAAAGATTTTTTTCCTATTTTTTTCCTTTTGGCATTGTTCATCGTAAATTTAGCTGTGTTTTTTTTCTTTTTATGTTAATGACAAGCCCCTAATTGCAGAAAATAATTCAGAAAGAAGGATTCACAACAAATTTTATTAATTAGGTTCAGTGTCAAGAAGATTAGAATATTGGATACTGAATAAACCCAAACGATTAAACTTATTATTAAGACAGGCTGTCTGTGAACAGTGTGAATCTAATTTTCCTCACAATGAGAAACTGAAGGTGAACCATCCTTTTTTCAAACAAGATATTGAAATATCACTGTGGAAAGTCACCCCCCCCCAGAAGGAAATATTAAAGAGGCAGAAAAGCATGCCCAGTTTTCTTAATAGCCTCAAGTCTCCCTCCCCCAAACAGAAACCAACTTTGTAGAAATGCAGATGTAAATAATCCAGGAAGGTTGGAGACCCCCAGCTAGAAGCTTAGGAAGGCAAAGACACCTAAAATCTACATACCCCACCCAAACTCTAAGACAGGACATAATAGGATTAACCCACAGATGCCAAAGGCCACACCCAGACTCAGGTCAGAATACATTATTATTATTATTATTATTATTATTATTATTATTATTATTATTATTATTATTATTATTATTATTATTATTATTATTATTATTATTATTATTATTATTATTATTATTACTTCCATTTATACCCCGCCCTTCTCCCGAGGGACTCAGGGCGGCTTACAGGTAAATAAAAACAGTACAATACAATAAATATCTCTAAAAGCCAAATTAAAATATATATTAAATAACCTGTATTAAGTTTAATATTATAAAATCCCTTTAAAATCCCTATAAAATCCCCCCCTAGGCCAATCCCGCTTGATGGAAAAGCCATG